GAGTGGCGCGGCGGCGGCGACGGGGCCGGGCTGGTCGGCGGCGGCTCTGGCTTCGCAGGCGCTGGCTCTGCTGCTCATCTTCGCCCTGTCGGCGCTGGGCAACGGCGCGGTGGTGCTGGTGATCGCCCGGCACCGGCAGCTCCGCACGGTCACCAACGCCTTCGTGCTGTCGCTGTCGCTGTCGGAGCTGCTGGGCGCGCTGCTCTGCCTGCCCCTCGCCTTCCTCAGCCTGCTGGGCCGTCCGCCCGGCGCGTGGCTCTTCGGCCATCGCCTGTGCCTGGCCAGCGCCGCGCTGCACGCCGGGCTGGGCATCGCCGCCACCCTCACCATGGCCCTGCTCTCCTTCGACCGCTACTGCGCCATCGTCCGCCAGCCCCGACGCAAGATGGGTCGCCGCCGCGCCGCGCAACTGCTGGCCGCCGTCTGGCTGGCGGCGCTGGGCCTGGCCGGGCCGTGGTACGGGCTGGCGGGCGAAGGGCGGCGGGAAGCCCGGCACGGCGCGTACCGCTGCGTCTACGTGCTGCCGTGGGGCTCGTCGCGGCTGGGCCCGCCTTACGGCGCGGCGCTCATCGTGCTCTGCTACCTGCTGCCCTTCGCCCTCATGTGCTTCTGCCACTACAACATCTGCCGGGCGGTGCGGCTGGCCGAGAGCCGCGTGAGGCCCCTGGCCACCTATGGGAACCTGCTGCGTGCCTACGGGGAGATGCGCACAGCCACCACCGTCCTCATCATGATCGTCTCCATCATCTGCTGCTGGGGGCCTTACTGCATCCTGGGGCTGGCAGCCGCCGCCGGCCACCTGCCCTTCTCGCCCACCATGGACGCGGTGGCCAGCGGAATGGCCTGGGCCAATGGGGCCATCAACCCACTCATCTACGCCGCCCGCAACCCCAACATCTCCGTGCTGCTGCGACGCAGCCGTGAGGGTGGCTACAGGACTAGGAACAACGTGGCCGCCTACCTCTCGGCCACAGGCCGCCGGCCAGAGCCCCGCAATCGGGCCGAGCGCGTGCGGGAGCGCTACGTCAACCAGCACGGCGGGCCTCCTGGGAGCGCCCCGTCCTCATCTGGTCCGGCGAATGGAGGAGAGGTGGCCATGTGGGCCTGCAAGAACCCGGCCGTGCTCTTCTGTCGGGATGGGCAGCCAGACACCGTCTCCGAGGCTGCTTTGCAGGGCAGAGTAGACGCTGTCAACACCAGCCTGTGATGGCGTTGAGGGCTGGGATAGTGGCATCGGGCCTTGGGGCTGTCTCCATGAGGAACCGGCGGTAGCCATGGATCTCTTGGAAATCAGGGAGATGGGCCTGCACGAGCCATAGTGTGATTTCTTCTCCATCATGCAAGCTCTGATTTGGCAGTCTGCTCTGCGAGCAGAGAGAGATGCCATGGAAAGGATGTGCCCCTTTCATCAGGCTTGGTGCAGTGGTGATGGCCGCTGAGCATCAAGAGTTTGACCGCATGAGCGATTGCTCCAGTCCTGCAAAAAGCGCCCAACTGGAGTTGCGGGGCAAACACACAAACAGCCTGAGACTGTGTGAGCTGTTTGCTAAGTGCCAACGCAGCCACCGAGAGCTGAGCACTGGCAGCTGGAGCACGCTCAGAGAACACCACACTGTGAAAACTGCATCACGGCAGGAAAATGTTGCTTTAACCCATTGTATGTGGCAGTGCAGAATGTCGTAGGGTATGGGACAGGCTAGAGAGTGGTTTGTGAAGATGATTATTTAAATTTCTAAGTGAAACAAAGCAGTGATTGTTGTGACAGATGCCTGCGGAGAAGGAAGATGTGTGGTGCTGGGAGGGAGGAAAAGGATGTCAGAATTTCAGCAGCCTTTTATTTATGGGTACAGTCTGTATAAAATACTGTGAGTGTGGGAAACTGAGAGCTCTGCAGGCAGAGGAAAAGGAGTGGGTGTAGTGTATTGTACTACATGGGCGCAAGGTGTACTCTGCACTCGGCAGATGTGTCTCACATCTCCAATGATTTAACTGTGCTTAGAGAAGCCATGCAAGAGTGGTGAGTGTCTGAAAGGAGAGGCACAGCATGCCATGTGTGCTTGCTGTGCTTAAGCATGTGAAGATGTGCACATGCAGAGAACAGATAGCGTTGTATCTGTGGCAAGAATCTGTTACTGAATGTGATATTCAAAAACTAGATCTGTTTGCTTGCCACTGGAAAAAATGAAGGTAACACCAGGAAATGGAAGTGCTGTTGCAAAGTGCAAATTCATATGAGTTTATCTGTATATTTTTGCCCACAGGCTCAGAGTCCTAACGCCTTAATCGGTATTCAAACTCAGAGATTGTCTTAAATTAAATGTGAGAGGCAGGCAGTATTTTTCTTGTGCTTCTTCAGAAATGTAATGCTACTGTTCTACGGCTTTTTCTCCTGGTTGTGACTCAAGTGAACGTACCGTCGTTATTTTGCAGCGAGACAAGAAATAAATTATCTTTTATGCAGGAGATGATAGCGTCTCAGCCTGGCATTATTCTCAGTACAGCCTTCAGAAGGGAACATCTGTAAAAAAAATTGCCATGGAATGGTCACAGAGACCTGAACATTGTGAAGCTGGGCGTTGCGAAGTCAGTGGTTGGACAAGATGATTGTAGCAGCCTTTCCCAGCCTTTATGATTCTATCAGTCTGTCATTCTATGAAGCGTGACCTGACTGTGAAATTTGAATGCAGCCATTTTTCATGCTGTAAGAATTACTGTAATTCTGTGACGCTCCTGAAGTCCATGAGGAAAAGATGTGACCCTTGGATAGAATCATACAATCGTTTGAGCTGGAAGGGACCTTTAAAGGCTGTCAGGAAATCTGTCCCGACTCCATAGTCATCAGCCTTAGGTGTCATTCAGTGTTACGGCTGCACTGATCTCACTGGTAAAAGCCCTGCAAAAGGTGGTCCCAGCCACCTCCCCAGCCTCTTCCAGCACCCGATTTCCACTTGTTTTTAACAAGTACTTGCAAGTGGCTGAGCATTAAGAATGCACAGAGCTGAACGGGGGCAGCTGGCTGTGCTCTTTGAGCTTCCCAAACAGCCCTCTTCTGTTAAACACTAACTTGGCGTGCAGCAAGGGAAGATTCTTGTCCAGACCCTTTCTGCAATGAACCTGCTGCAGCTCAGCTAGAGCAGGACCTGCTCTGTGCCAGCCACTCAATGTGCTTTACAAAACACAAATAAAGGGCGAAGAGTCTTAAACCACAAGCAGCAGAGAGCAAGAGAAACACAGAAGGCACACGCCAAGCTTGCAGGCTGCCTGCCAGAGCGTGCTGCTGGCTCCCAGCTGTGCTGTGGGTCGCTGCCTCTCAGCAGCGCTGCAGTGGAAGCTCTCAGCAGCGCTCAGATCCCCCTTTGCTGGGCTGAAGCGAGGGGATCTGGCCATGTGCAGTCCCTGCATGGTCATGCTCTAAGAGAGCCATGCTATTTGGCAATGCTGTACGAGCTGCTGATACAGCTTCTGAGTTACTTCTTAGAAGGGAAGCACTAAGTCTGTAGGAGTGAGGAGTGTTTCTGAAGTATTGTTCCAGATAGAGTCTGGCAGTTTTGCTATATCACATTCGTTTAAGTCATTACCTTCATCCCTCCCTAATGCCCAAGTGAAGGCTTGGTTCAAAGTGACTGCTTTATGTACAATTTACAAACTACAAATTATTCATTTCCAAGTGGCAGCCTGATGGGATCCAGTAGTTGACAGTGATCAGCAGAACGGATGCAAGATCCGACATCTCCACTTCTTTCACACTGGTGTTAGTGTGTGGCTCCAGCAGATGCCAGCAGAGATCTGAGCAGCTAGTACAGCCCTTCTGCTAACTAGCAGCAGAAAAGCTTCTGCTCATGAGATCATGAGATCAAGAGCTCTGCCTGGCACTGGACTCCTCCAGGCATTGGTAGAAACCCACAAAACATTGGGGAGTGATTTCCAAATACTGAGGATACTAAATTTTATGATCTTGCTGCTTTTATAAACCATGGGAAAGCAGGGAGTAGCAGCCAGCTACACCCAGACGTGCTGTGACAAAGTGTGATTTTGGGAGGTCATTTGGGGAGATGATGCTCAGCTTGCTGAGTGCTGGCCACGAGGGGAATGTCCAGCACTGTGGGCATATTCTTGTTTCTTAGAAGGGCTGGAGCAAGCCTTGGTTAAGGCAGCAGGGTGAGAGTCATAGAACCATAAAGGTTGAAAAAGACCACTAAGCATCCATCCAGTCTAACTGTCAACCCATCACCCATGCCCTCTAACCATGTCCCACCACTGCTCCTGCACACGGGGAGCTGCCTGTGCTATGAGAAGCAGAACCCTCAGCTCAGTCCTACAGGTTTTAAAACCCCTCAGTGTGATGGGCACGCACAAAAGCACTTGGTAGATTTCTCTTAAATCCTTCCCCAGCCATTCCTGAAGACCCAGGTGGAATTTGCTTACCTGACTCAGTGGAGGAAAAGCACTGGAGTAACCAGGTCGCATTTCTCTGTGGTCCCCAGCACAGCCATGCACAGAATACATCACCTCTTGTGGCTGTTTGATTCCACGAAGATGGATAGAATTTAAATGATCCCTCTTCCACTACATCGGAAGAAATTAAAGTGCACCATTTTTGACTCCAAGCCTAGAGGTTGCTGTACTTCTCAGCACAAGGCAGAAAGGTGCCCATTTAGCCCTCAAATCCCAAATATCCCATTTTCCTCCCCCAACAGCGGCTGCAGTGTGTGCTGCTTTGCACAATGACTCGTGGCTCCGTGCTGCACACTCACCGGAATCGCTTTTCTTTATTGCATGTTGCCATCTTAGAAAATGTACAGTCTCATGACATTACACAGCATTTCCTGCTAGCTACGACTAATAACATTCTTGCACCTAACACACTACCTTGGTCACTACGAAGCTAAGAAAGTCCAAGACATATACTTCAGTTTACAAATTGTTACGGATTTTTTTTCCCCTTTTTTGGCATTATTAAAAAAAAACAAACAAACCAAACCAAACTGTCTTTAAAATACACACCCAAGAGAAAAGAGTGGCTACTTACACCAGCACCGATCTAAAAGTAGTTTTCGACAATGGCACATGGAATTACCTGCACGCAGCCTTTGCAGTTATTAATATAGACATCTTTTGTTCTTTTTTTTTTTTTTTGGGGGGGGGAAAGAAAAACAAAGACATGGCAAAAATTCAGCCCAACCACAAGGCTGCCATAAAACCAAACAATAAAAACCAGGTCTGGGAAGGCAGGAGGGAATCTGTCAGGAAATGTGGCACTGGGGACCTGCAGGCGGCCGCCCTTTCCCATCCAGCCGCCGTGCAGATCTGACACGAGCAACCATTCCTTAAACCATCAGAAGCCATAGGTTTCTATTTTCAACCTTTTTTATCTTTTTCTTTGTTGTTGTTGTTTTTTTTTAATCCCACCCCCAAGGTCCGTTCCCTCAATTTTATCAGCCCCGTTGTTTGCTTGTCTTTTTTTTTTTTTCCAGCCATAAATAAAAAATATAAACAGAGGCACTTTAGTTAAGGAATAGTATTATCATTACCTTTTTGTCTTTATTTCCCTCTCCTTCTGAAAGCAAAGTGCTCAACTCCACCTATGAACAGAACCTGCAGGTTGCACAGCTGCTTGGATACGAGGTGCTGGACTCTCATTTGGCGCTCACCTGCTTTATGCTACTCGGAAAGTCTTTTTTTTGTCTTTTTTTTTTGTCTTTTTTTTTTTTAATCTACAGTGTGTCCGAAGTTGCAATGAAGAAAAGAACAAAATGGTAAAACCACAGCTCTTGACGACTCCGTTCAGAGTGATATTTCACAGCTTTCACACAGCACGCAGACCCGGCGGCCTTCAGGTGCTTAGAACCATATCTTTATACAAATCAGTTTCAACAGCACTTTTGCTATACAGTACGTTAGCTGACATCCCACAGCCCATCTGCAATACCAATTAATCTGACCAAAAAGAAAAAAAAAACCAAACAAAAAACAACCTTACTTCAAATAGCGTTCGTATGTAGTGCAACAGGGACAAACTCATCTCTCCACAGGAAAAAGAACAAACGAACAAACAAAAGATCACAAAAGTATCGGTGGTATCAAAAGGTTTCGTCTCGTTTCCTTAAAAAACATACCACAAATAAATAAGAGCAAAAAGTAACAGTCCTCTATATACTCAGCATAATTTAAGAATAGAAATGTTAATGCGTTTACTTTTTATTCTCCAATTTTTTAATTTTCTAAACCTTTAAATTATTACTCCCTGAGAGCTCTGAATTCTTTTTCTTCTTCTTTTTTTTTTTTCCTTTTTTTCTTTTTTTTTCTTTTTTTTTTCTTTTTTTTTTTCCGAACCGACATTTTACAGGTAGTTCTGCTTACAGATTGGCAAGGACATAGTAGAACAGCAAAGCGTTGCTAACAGACAGCACTTCGTGGCGTCGTTGCTTCTGCGTGCCCATTAAAAGAAAAAAACAACAAACCCAAACTGGACAAGAAGGGGGGGGTGCAGCTTTGGCCCTGGCCCCGCTGCACACCGAGTGACCTTCTGTCCTGTCCGACATCTACGGAGGATACAGTTTGTCCCACTGAACAGAAAGCGAGAATAAAAATGACAACACGAAAGTTTATGCCCTTCGTTGCCTCCGAGAACCGACCCTTCCCGTCGCCTTGGGCCGGGAAGCGTTAGAAAAGTATAAATACATCTGGGTGCCACGTGAGCAAGTAGAACACTCGGGTAAACTCTTCCCTTAGCAAGGCAAGAGGAAAAAAAGAGCATTTCCCAAAAACAACGGGAAGAAGAGCATCGCCAGGAGTGCTTGTGGCACCGAGCTTGGGGACCAGCACATAAGTGCAAGTCTGGGGAAAAACCAGGACAACGAAAAGAACGCATCAAGTTCAGTCCACTTGGTTTTCTCCTCTTTACTCTTTTGCGATCCAGCAAACAGCCCTGTGCAGCTCCTGGGGTCAGGAGAGCGATGCCGAGCAGCTCTCCGTCACCAACGTGGATCATGTCTCTGTGCCCAAGTCGTCTCTTTCTTCAAGGACATGACATTGTGCTTGTGCATCGGGAGAGCCACTTGTCAAGGGGACGGAGGGCAGGGGACGAGCACCCACAGGACACACAGCTCCACCCGGCCCGGCCACGCTCATGGCACATACACACACGCTCACCCGTGGGGAGGAAGAATGTGCCACTGTTTCGCTTGGAATCACAAGGCAGTACAATGAAAACAAAATAAATCCTAGCCACTTCAAAAAAAGACCACTAACCGGGTTTGGAAACTCTCGGTTTTCGCCGTTGTCCTTCTGTTTCGCTGCTCAGAAGTTAAGCTTGGTGATGGGCCGCTCACGGCCACTGTCGGCCAGCTGGTTGGCGATGCGCTTGCGGTTGCGCTTCAGCTTGGAGAGGTCCTTGTCAAAGACCTCGCCTGAGCGCAGGGCTGAGACAAGGTCATCGAACTCACCGCCTTCCTCACCGCTCTCCTTCGCCTTCCTCGCCTTGCGCTCCCGTTCCCGCTGCTCCTTCAGCTGGTGGAGAGGAACATCGCACTGTCACGTAGGCACCCGTAGCCCCAAAGTGTGAACAACAGCAGCTTCCTACCCCTCACTGAGCAAGTGAGAGCTGGTCAGGGTTGCTTGACAGAACCACAGCCCTGGGAAGTGCTGGTCACCCACAGAGAGTCACCGTGAGGATGGGCATGGGGTCAGCAGCCTTTAGGGCTAGGGAGCCTCAGGGCATCTGCTGATGCAGCCAGAGAGCACCAGAAGAGCTGGGAAAGCAAAGCCCAACTCTTTTCCAGTGCAGTTATATATCAGTGTCTTAGATGTAAGATCTCACCAACCTCTAAGTGACTAGTTAAATAAGCAAGCAACAGTGAAAGACAGGGGGATCTAATTGCAGAAGCAGCCTGACTGGCCTACATATGCTTCCTATGCCACCAGGTGTCCCCAGTCCTGCCCTGGCCTGCTTACCTGGGCCTCCATGCGCGCCCGGCGCTCCTCCTCCTCCTTCCTTCTCCTCATGTTCTCGTTCTCCTGCTTGGCCTCTGTCACAGCCTGAAGGAACTGATCGAAGATGCCGAAGAACTCATCAGGCTGCATTTTGTCTGTGTCTTCTCCAAAGTGTTTCACAGCCTTGGAAAACTGGGAGAGAATCACAGAATTGTAGGGGTTGGAAGAAATCTCTAGAGATCATCCAGTCCAACCCCGTGCTAATGAAGGTTCCCTACAGTAGGTTCCAGGGGAAAGCATCCACATGAGCCTTGAACATCTTCAGAGGAGACTCCACAACCCACAAGCAATCTGGGCAGCCTCTTCAAGGACTCTGTCACCCTCTCAAAGTGAAAGTTTTTTGCCACGTTCATGTGGAACTTTGTAGCCCTTTGGAGAGAGAGCAGACAGGAGGCTGTCAGGCTGTGGGGATACTGTGCTGGTGAGACCCCAACGGAAAGCCTTAGGCCTGATGGAGCAGTCGTGGCAGAGAACAGAGTTAACAGCAGGGCTTTGATTAGCCAGGCCTTGGCTTAAACATGACATAAATCATCTGCCATCTGATTTTCTGAGCGTTAGCTGCCCTGTAAGCCTTCCAGGAGAGGTCCTGTAGCCTCCTCTCCCAAAACACCCCACCAACCCTTTGCACCTCTGGTTCTGCTCAGCCTCCAGCTCGACTTCATTAACCAAGCAGTAGTAAAAACAAGGAAGCAAAATATTGTGGGACTGAAGACTGAAGACATAAAACTAATAGTAAACACGGCAGGGGAAGGGAAACTCGCACTTTTAAGTTTTCTTTGAAGTATTTTTGGGGTATTCTTTATCATTGCCACATGCTCTACTATTGAAACCAAATGTGTTGGTGAGACTTCTGAAAGATATGTCTGCCCAGGCTCAAGCACAGCACAGGGTAGGGAAATGGGAAGTTTTCCGGTCTTCTGTGCTATTTGCACACCATTAGTGTGAGTGAATCCAATAAGGCTGTAGCAAAGGTCAGGACAGGACACCCAGTCTCTGCTGATGGATCCTGGTCCCCAAGGAGACACAAGATTTATGAGTTGCTTTGATTTTGCTCTGTGGAGTGAGAGGAACATTTTTAAAGCCTGCCAATATGATTAAGTCTGATTTTCTGGGATGTCTCAGCCTCTTCAAAAGACATTTGGGGCACTTTTATTTCTCTGTTTATTTATGAGACTTAGCATTTCAGGATGCAGGGAAGGATCTGAAAGGTGCCACTGTATCAATTGAAAACACTGAGGTTATTCTCGTTGATTTTCATTAAGATGCTGATGTTTCTGCCACCTTTTAGGAGATTCAGGTGGGTGAAAAGGCTAAAAATGTTATCCCCACAGGATATGAAGTTTATAAGATAATTATGTTTCTGCTTTCCTAGGAGAAAAGGTCACATGATTTGAACACGTGCTTAAAAATTGAAGAGCTTGTGCACTTCCCCCAGCCTATCCTATTCAGTAACTATGGGAAGCATTTGCTTCAAAGTAGGCTTTAATGGCTTGTGAGGACTACAATGAGAGCTCCTAAAGATGTGGGCACATCTATCTGCACAGTCTGCACTCACTGCAGGCAAGATCTGCCTGACCAGTACTGACAGTTTCAAAGGTTTAGGCGTAGCTTCAGGAGGACACTGGTCACTTGTAATACCCCAGCACAGGTGGATGGACTGGAGCACATGGTCAGATTGACATTGGTATAACCAGGGAGAAGGAGGTGGTGGCACTTGGTAACTTCAGTGTTTGGACAGGTAGCTTATGCAATGGGATACGGATGGGACCTCTGTTTGTTTGATTCTGATCAGAACTATCTCCCTGCCAGTTCATTTAAGATGAAGGTCGAGTCAGAGAGGAGATACTGGAAGATAATTCTGGCAAGATATGGAAACCAGCTATATGTGCCTTTGCTGGAAGAAGGGAAGCAGAGGGTGCTTGGGTATCACAGATGTCAGTCAACGGCTGACTTGCTCAGGCTTAAGCCAGCCTGTTGGGAAGAGAGGACGGTAACACAAGAAATCAAGTGACTGTTGGTGGCTGCACAGCACTCATTAAGGCACTGCTCTGAGGAGACTGAGTCTTTTCAGCAGCATCTCTAAGCAGGTCTGAAGTTGGCTTCAATCTCATCCCCTCCTGATGGACACAACTCTACCAAGGCTAGCCCCTACCTTGCCCTTCCAACAAACAGACAGATACCATGTCTCATGTTTGTTGGCCTGACCTGTGATCCTGTGGCATGTTGGGTTATGGAGCAGGAATAAAGCCCTGGGGACAGACAGGGATGTGCCATTATCCACCCACCCACCCACACCCACTCTGAATAAACCACAAGGAGCAGTGCAGAGCCTTCTTCATGTCAGGGTCTTAGCAGGACACTCTCTCCACATCACATATGTGTGATCTCTTGGGAGATATTTGAGATGTCAGCACACATGGCGCATGCTCTGGGAAAGCTCTGGTTGTTCCTCCTCTGCAGGCTGGAGGAGGGGATGAAACACTGCCCAGATCAGATCTCAAGGGCATTGGTGACCTTACCAGTTCTTTTGCTTCTGCCAGAAGATCTTCAACATCTGAGAAGCTGAAGCTGGCTAGTGTGATGAACTGGCTGACAACAGACACAAACTTGTCTCCTGCTTGCTGAACTTGAGACTTCTGGAAGTCCAGCTCCTTTGGGAAAAACAAAAACAAAAACATAAATCTAGTCAGGCCCTGGCTGATGAGGGACACAAACATGATGGTCTCTGTCAGTGCTGCCAGGTGTGTGCCCATGTCAGTGTTGCACCCTCCTGCAATGCACGAGACCTTGGATTACCCTGTTATATGATATCGTGGCCACACTATGCTTTTGAAACCAAACCCTCTGGGAAAGATGCTGAAAGCAGCAATTAGCAAGACAGAGAGTTCTTAAGGATACCTCCACTTCTTCACCACTCCAGATGAGCTGCCCAACCTGAGCCCCTGTCCTCTGAGATCTTACAGCCAAGGAGACACTGCAGGACATTACAGGTCCTGCTCCATGGGCACTATGCTTAGCTTCTCCTAATGTGTCAGATACAAAGCATGCATGTGCCCAACCAACATAGGGTAGCTTCAGTGCCTCAACAGCCCTAGGAGGACAGGCACACATATAGGACAGGAAAGGAAGAGCAGAAGATCTCTAGGAAATATAAGGCAGCTTTTCTGGGAGGTCCCTCGTCTCCATCCCCACAGAAGGATGCCCCACTGCTGTGAGCCAGGCTGGACTATATTTGATTTAAATAATACTTACAGTCTCCACCGCTCTCAGGCCGCTCCTCAGTGTGTTTATTTCTTTCTCCAGCTCAGTCATGCTGTTGGAAATAGCGGAATGTCAGTTTTCAACTTCTCCAGCACATTCTCCAGCTCTCCTACCAACACAACTGTGCTTTTCCACTGAACAGACCCCTGTGCTGCACACACTGCCTCCTGTTTGCAGGCTGGTTTGTGTTGAACAGCAAATCGTCCTGACAGCCTCTAAACAAAGGCGGCTGCCTATCTGAAAGCGGCTGCTGCTGCTTGCTTGAAAGCAGAGCACTTCTCTGTGCTTGTAATCAAAGGGAATGTGCTAAAAATCCCAGAGCAGGCAGCAGTGGGATGGAGGAAGGGGCACTCCTCATCCCTGTCCTTGCTGGCAGTAAGGTTGCTGTCCTTGCCTGCTCCCGGGTCTCTGTATCAGCAGAAGGTAACAGTCCCAGCGCACAGTGGACAATTTCTGGGGGAACCACAATGAGGTGAGTTCCACTCAAAGCATCTTTCCCACCCTACGGACTGGAGCAGTACTCCTTAACAGAAAAGCTTTCCTAAGAGGAGGCAACCCAAATATAGAGAAATAAAAATAAATGATCAGGGTTGGCGCTGAGGCTGTTTACACAAGGCTCGAGTCCCCAGTGCACTGAGATTGAGCACTTATGGGTTTCTTTCATAGAGCTGATTGAGAGCTTTCTCACAAAGACTCGATGACCACAGGCTTGATGCTTTTCCAGGGGTGCCTTTCCTATGTCATGGGGCAAGTGTTCCTGGCAGGTTTAAGTCTGGGAAAATGAAGTTCTGGGAGCCCCGTGCTCTAGCAGTTCATTAGTAGTGGTGGGGGTTGACAGAGGCGGCAATTTTCCTTCACAGCTGCAGGGCTGGGGGGAATTTAGGGTTTTCCAGGGATTTAGAAACTTTTTGGTTTTGCTCTAGATTGGACTGAACCCAAACATTACATGTGGTGTCCAATTTAGCACTGGACTGATAGAGAAAAAAGCTTCTCTGTAGACGCTTTCTTTCCCATACGTGTATCTGTACAACAGCTGCAGAGCATGAGAAAGAAGCCTGCAGGCAGCAGGCAGGGAGCGATGCCTGTATCACAGCAGCCACCCACTCAATGCCCAGGTGTTCAGCCCAACCCCTGCAACGGAAAATTATTTTGTGCTTTAAATGCAAGGATGCTCACCATACAAAATGCTTTGCACGTTCTTCTATAGGGAGTCCACCTTTAAGAGCACTGAAACTAGACCTGCGAGTTCCACGTGTATTTGTTGTCTCATCTCTAAAAAGGGGCACTTTAAGGCCCTCGCTATGTCCACGGATTATTTAGGCGAATGCTCTCAGCCACACAAATGCTGCTTGCAGAAATGTATAATCTCTGACTCCCTGTCACAGGCTCAGATCCCCACAGCAGCACAGCACGTAAGCTCCTGCTCAACTTTAAGACCAAAACAGAGCCCCATTGATTTCAGATGGACTTAAGTGCATACTTGAGGGCTTTGCAGAGCAACAGCAGATTCCTCGTGCGCTTAACGCTAAGCACGTGCTTAAAGTCTTTGCTGGATGGGGCCTCTCCAGATTGCAGCAGCCCACTGCATGAGCGTGCAGGGTCCCCATGCGCATTTATAGGCATCAAAAGCTCCATGCTGGTGGCAGAAGGAGTGCTGGACCCAGAGGGCACCAAACCCCTTGAGCCGGTGCCCCACACAGCAAAGCCTCCCCGCTGCACCCAGATAAAGAGCTGCCTTTTATCTGCAGCCACACCGCAACCGCTTCCTACCAGATTACTTGACGTACCATTAGAAATTAATTAAATGCTTCTGTGGTGAGATAACAGCAGGAAACGGCTGGGCTGCTGTAAGCAGCTCTCCTCCCTCGCAGCCAGAGGCTCACCTCCCTTTAGCTGCAGGGGCTGGGATTTAAAGCCACAAGGTGATGCTTGCTGCAGCACCGACTTTGTGCTTCTGTCCCCATGGGTGCAGGGCTACGGGGGTGCGATGCAGTAAGGCAGGCTGAAGCAAGAGGAGATGCAACTTCACAGACCCACATCACCACCCTAATCCCTGCTTACTTGACTTTGGCTGCCTGCGGGATGTCTCGCAGCTCCTCATGCAGGCGGAGGACTTTGGGATATTTCTTTTCAACAATAGTGATGAGATAGTGCAGAAGAGTAATGTTCCTAGGAGAAAGGAACAGAGAGGTTAGTGTGGTGCTGGTGAAATCCCAACCCTCATGGCTGTTTTGGGATCCATGCAATGACATGGCCACTGTCTGGGTCACAGAGCAGGGATCCACTGGAGGTGCCTGAATGCCATCACCCCTTCCTCCTGCTGTTTGGCGAAGGCTGGGCTGGTTTGGGATCTGACCCAGCTCCTTTCTCTGCACACAAAGTTCAGTGAAGGTGAATGAACACCACAAGGGCTGCCTCTGCTTGGGGTGACTGCACAGGAATTCCCTGCCTAAAGATTCCTCCTCTGGCTTGTCAAAGGGGAAAAGAGCTCTTGGAGAATGATCCTCCACACCAGCCTTGACTGCCATTGAGTAGGCCAGAAAGGAAAGCCCTCATCCATTTCCGTGCTGACTGCAGCTCGGTTCCCTCTAAACCTTATGTGATCCAGGATGCTTGTGCCATGGGATGTGCCAGGCAGGAGGGATAGGATCACTATCACCCACCTGTGTGCTGGGAGCATTGCTAACAACCTCTCAATTCCTCCAGCAATGCTGGAGCCCATAGAAACTACCAAGGAAGAGGGCAGGGGATGCTCACTTGTCAATGCTGGACTTTGTGTCCGCGATCTTGTTCAGGCTGGAGATCTTAAACCCGAAGGCGTTTCCCCTCTGTCCTTTGTTCATGTAGTTCCCGAAGGCCAGGACCACCTCCAGCAGCTGCTGCAGGCTGCTGCTCTGGAGCACTGCCTTGGAGCCAGCACGGATGGCTGCAGGGAGAGAGGTGCAGGATGTCACCTGCAAGCCACAGCACCTGCACTGCATCAGTCCCCTGCCCTGCAGTGCTCTCAAGGCCAGAATGCGGCCACCAGCTCCCTCCATCCCTGCCATCTCCACCAGAAGCAGTCAGCAGATGCAGTCACTTGCCTTCCACTTTGGGTTTGACTTCTGCAACTCTCTCTGCAAACTTCTTCTTGAAGTAGAGGGACTGCAGCCTTTGCTGATAATGGTTTATCCTGCCAGAAAAAAAAGAGAGGTGCAGGCTGAGCTTTGCTTGCTCCAGGCAGAGCTCTGCTGCCCAGCTGTTCACAGCCAGGCTTACAAAGCACGCCTGAGCCACGGTGATTAAAAAGTAATGACTGCATTTCCCCTGGAACCTATGTTGGTTGGGAAAAAAAATGACAACTGAAGCTACAGCCATCACTGGGCAGATCCTGATGGGCTCTTAATCCCATGTGTAAGCTATCCTGAACACAGCAGGTTGAACAAGTGCATTTTTACACTCTATTGCTATGAATAATCAGTTCATTTATGACCACTCCTGAGCAGAGATGTTGATGAGATCTGGGCTCCCAGCAGCTTTGCAGTGAGCTGTGCTGGAGGGAAACACATCAGCTACCAGTGCTAATGAGACCTGACCTTCAGATACTCCAAGTGAAGTGTCCCCCTGGACCTGGGCAGCACAGCCACCAATACATCTCAACCCAGCCCTTTACTGAGCAATTTAGGGGACGGCTGTGCCCATGTCAGTTGTGTTTAGGCTAAACAAGATCTCACTTGTATGCAAACAGCAGCCTGATTTGAGTCACTTGGACCAGGACCCATGGGAGATGTGCTCACAGCCAAGGCCACAGGGTAGGCTGATGTACTAATCAGAAGTGACAAAGACATCACACTTGGTTACAGACTGCAGGACAAATTAAACAGCTATGCATGAAATCAAGGAAAATATTTGCATCAGCACATTGTGCTTCCAAAAGATGAAGGCATGGGAGCAACATTTTACCATGAGAAAGAAAGGTAACCTGCAAGAGGAAGACTAATTCCATCTTTCAGCCCCGAGGGCTTGTCCTGAACTTCACAGCTCTGTTCTGCCTGCCTTTGACACTCAGCAAGCCCACAGTGCATTGCCATGGTGTTCGTTAGTGCATTTCTCAGGGAGAACAGGAGTGTTTCTATTTTTTAACTGCTGGAATGAAGTCGTATTGCAAAACTCTCTGACTTTTCAAACAAGTGACTTGCTCGAAGTCCAGAGAGTACATAAGAAATTCCTCAGAGAAAATTTCAAAGAGCTCAATACTCAGTAGGAGTTAAATAACGAGCTTCAAGATTTTAAACCAGTACCCCTGAAGGATGTGCATGCAAAAGATAAGGTTGTTCGTCCCTCAAGACCTGTAAGGCATAAATGATTGCTGCCAGGATCAGGAAGAAATGACATTTCCTCTCTGTCTCACATATTCTCAGGAGCCTTGGGGATGAGTCATTCCTGAAGGTGACGAGTGGAACTTATCTATACAGCAGGGCAAAATTTACATATATCAGTCTTCAGTATTCATTACGATATATTAGTGCAAAGGGGAAAGGAGCCTTGCAGTGGCACTGTTACCATTCAAGCGGCACTTCCCACCTAGACCATGATGCAGACGATGGGCCCTTCTGCACAGTTGTGCCAGACTGAGCTTTTCTTCCCCAGGTAAGAGGGGAAGTGTGTTGGGAGATGCTCAGATGAGACTCATCTCCCCATCCCCTGCTCTGTCTGCTGCTCCTTTCTGGGATGCGCAGCCCTGACCTGGAGCATGCAGCATCATGAGTGATCCTTATGGACAGGAGCACCTTGCTTGCCCTCCCATCCATCTACCCACATGTTTCTTGATGTGAAAAACAGCAAACGGAGCATATTGCCCATCCAGGCTCCTTGACATCCCATGTAGTGCAATGCCCCACCTGCTCATTTCAAAGAGAAACCGGTCAGCCTTGGCCATGCGGTCCAGTTCGTGCTTATGCTCTTCCAGCAGGTCAATGTCACCCTTTTCTGGAACAAACTTCAGGAGCTAAAGGGAAGCACATTTACAGACATGAGATCCATGCACAGTTCTGAAGTTTTTCATGAACAAAGCAGTGATTTAGTCACTTCAATCTCCTGCCTTTTCAATCTCTATGGCGACCTCGGCGTACCTATGAAATAAGTGCATTCCAGCTGTCCCTTTGTCCTTCCTCCCTCTGCCACATCACATTGGCATCTCTTGCTTCTGCCCTGACACCACTCTGACTTTACAACAGATATGCTAGGTCTACATCAGGGCTTCCACATCAGATCTGCCAAACTAGATATAAGAGACTCTCACTGCAACTCCACATTACTGCAGGCAGAAAGTTTGGACAGGTGAATAAAATGCTTCTAAAGGCATTCAGAGGGGGGTGAAAAGCTGACTTCCTTTTTTTTTGAGGACAAATGCTCAGAAAGCTTTTGAAAATAACCCCCATCAAGCACAAATGTCAATCTTTGGCCACCAAATGGCTCAGCATTGGGTCCCAGGGCAGACCCAGGTACCAGCACATAACACAGAGGCCATTCTGCCCTCTGTGCTGATGCTACAGCCTAGCTGCCTGCATTCCTGATTCTTCAACTACTCTTCAGATGATTCTCAATATGAAGCTGGCAAATAATTTGAGGCCCAACATGTGTCTCAGAGCGACAGTTTGATCCCCAAAAGTATGTGTGGCCTCATTCTAAGACACGATGCCAACCAGGAGGAGGGCAGGATGCATTCCCCACCTGCTCCAACATGTCTTTCGGGAGGTCCTCCTGCTCGTCCATCGTCAAAATGGCTCGTTTGATCTCCTCATTTGAGAGCTTCAGCCTAGGAGAAAGAGGGAAGAGGAGGATAAATTGCATCCATGCAATGGAATAGTTTGAAGAGTGCGTCCTCTGCTACCCATCAACATGGTCAAGGTCATGTGGTCCTCCACCCCTCCCAAGCTCTTTCACATGGAGTCTCCCTCTAGGAAGAAAGAGAAAGAAACCTAAAGTCTGTAAGCTGAGGCAACAGAAGGACTCCCACAGTTCCTCCTGAGCTGACCATTCATCAGTCACAGTTTAATAGATCTGCAACAATCTGCATGACCACTCCCTGCAAGGACTGGGATTGCAATATGCAATAATTGCACAGATATTTTTCTTCACGCTTTTGCAATGCAGTTGATTAAACAATCTTAGTGCTAAAGAAAGTGAGCCCCTTCTTCCTCCTGCCCTCTGCAGGAGCTCTGGGCCAAGCACTACCATTACAGACCTGGCTATCTTCTGAGGCTCTGTCCAAGCCCTTGGTAATTTTCCTTCATTTTCAGAGTGTTGCTGCTGTTTGCAAATTCTCACGCATACAGGACAAAAGAGATGCTTTCTGCAGCCTGATGGATATTCTCAATCAAGAGGTATGAGCAACAGGCATTAGGCATGGCCAGTTTTGGATGCCAGTCTTATATCCAGCTGCTGAACTGAGCGAGGATGCAGGAGGAGCAGAAGTTAAGAGTACATTTTCCATCCTGACATTGCTTGGGTAGCAGACCAAGACCTTAGAGCCAGCTCATGGAACACAAAGCTAAACAGCAAAGATGCAGGACCCTTTAGGCTAGTGAGAGCTTGGCTTAGCTTGAAACCTTTTGTTCAAGACTGGAAATGAAGGGTTACCTTCACTGAGACATACATGTGGAAGAGCAGCGACAAGTAAACTTTCATTCCTTAAGAGCTCAGATTTCTCATCTTGATCCTCCCTCCCCTCTTGCCACAGTATCCAGTACTTGGGGAAATCTCAATAGAGAGGTTTGTTAAAAGAGAAGTGAGTTAAAATCTCACCTGAACCGGGGAAGAAAGCACAAAGACTGTACTGAGCAGTGGCCAGGATAATTGGTAGGGTCACAGCACAAGCAGAATAGATCCAGGATGATGGATCCCTGTGCTGCTTGCAGAGATAAGCAGCCGTGTCCTGGAGACACCTTACCTGCCCCACAAGATCAGAAATAATGCAACCAGAAGGAGCAGGAGGTGATGGTCCCTCTGTATCCTCCATTGGTGAGGCTGCACCTCAAGTACTCTGTTCAGTGTTGGGCCCCTCACTATAAGAAAGTCACTGAGGCCCTGGAATGTGTCCAGAGAAGGACAGTGAAGCTGTGAGGGGTCAAAAGCACAAGTCTTACAGTGAGCGGCTGAGGGAACTGGGATTGTTCCGTCTGAAGGAGGCTCTTCTGTCTTCACACCATCCCACCTGAAGGAGACTCTTCCATCTGAAGGAGGCTTATCACTCTTTACAACTCCCTGAAAGAAGGTGGTGGCAAGATGGGGTGGTGGCAAGATGGGGCTCAGCCTTTGCTCCCAGGTAACAGAGATAGTATGAGAGGTGATGGGCCTCAAGTTGCACCAGGGGATGTTCAGGTTGGATATTAGGAAACATTTCTTCTCAGAAAGAGTGGTGATGCACTGACTGCCCAGGGAGGTGGTGGAGTTACCATCCCTGGAGGTGATCCAGAGCCATGGAGATGTGGCACTGAGGGATGCGGTCAATGGGCCTGGTGGGGGTGGGCTGGGGTTGGATTTCAGCATCTTGGAGATCTTTTCCAGACTGAATGATTCTATGATCCTATAAGATGGCAGTGGCCTGGAAGGACAAGACCTTTGATGCTGGGTATGAAGACTGCGCCCAAGCAGCCGTGCTAAGGCTAAGGCCACCACCAAGTGTCACATTGGCCCCCACCCCAGGAAAAAATGGACACCTGCTGGTTTGAGACACTTGGAGGTGGAAAATATGCTCCCAGGAGAAGGCAGCTGGTGGGCAGTTACCTCTCACACAGCACACACCTGAAGCTCCACTGTGACTACCTCTGGGTGTGTGCTGAATGGCGAGCGTGCCTTTTTAAGCCCTGCTCATTAAAAGCAAACCCAGTAATAAAATAGAGACACACAATAAAAGGGCTGAACAAACTTTTCTCAGAAATCCTCAAAACGCCATGCCAAGAACAAGAGGCTGCTTCAGGATCGGCAGAGAGCAATCACAGGGCGCCAGAAGAGAACAGCTTCTCAGACAATGTGATGGGAAAGGGGCCAGGGAAAGCTAGAAGCTTATCTATAACCACAATAATTATCATTGCTGGCAGCAGCTGTCGAACGCGAGCCGTCTGAGAGGAACGGGGTCACAGTGCTTGCTGTCACAGGGATTTAAGGCCAGCAGCTCGGCGATGCAAAGTGACAGCCTGCCGGCCCGGGCTTGCTTGCGTGGCTTTTGTAGGGTCCGGGGAAGGATGTAATAAGTGTGAAGGGGAAAAACAAATTCTGCCCGGAAGGGGACGCGCCCTCTTGAAAAGCCACATTCATTTGAGAAAAATGCTCGACACTGCCTCGCTGGAGAGAGGAATCGAACGAGCCACTCACTGCCAGCACGCTCAGAAAGGGATGCAGCAAATCCCTGATTTGCATCTTGCAGAAGGCAGCACGCTAAAAATACACACATGTACACCCGGAGCAAAAGCAAAGGCAGGGTTTCCTTGAGTAAGATGGAGCAATGCACCCACATCGGCGTTGCTGGAGTGTTCTTAAAAAAGAGGAAAAAAGCAAATGTTAAAAATATTCTTGTGCTGCATTACAAGCTGAAGGAAAATTCAGTGATCTCACTGTGCAGTAATTTCTCCCAAAGCAAGGGAAGCAGGCAAAAAAATAAATCTACAGAGAGAGATAAAGTATCTCACTGGCCGTAATCTTTCCACGCTGCAAGCCAGACAATAGCTGTTTAGCTTACAAATGTCTGGGTTAAACAAGGGGCCAAGCCTACAGGTCCTTTCACATGTGAAAGTCAGCTTGCTTCTACAACACCCAGTCCTCTGCAGCAGCAGATCTGTGCTCTGCTCAGAGATGGGGACAGGGCTTGGTACAGAGCTTTCTGAAGATGCAGGGGGTGAGCTGAACCTGCAGAGGTCCCTGGGTGCAGGCAGAACAGGATGGACCCCACAGCATCAGCTCATGCTGGGTTGGTGTCTCCTCTGGGGTAGGAAAGAGCCCAGGTGGGTGCCAACTGCTGGAGGAGAGCAGGTCTAGATCTGCTGAAAGTCAGTGCTCACTCCTCCTTGGCATGTTATATATTTATGTTGCTAAATATATCAGTGCCTAGAAATCACAATGCTGGGAAAAATCATACAGCCCCACGCCGCACTTGCTGGTCTTTTAGGGAGGGACTCAAAGGACAGGGCAGACAGGCAGTGCTCATTCCTGTTGGATTAATTAATGACAACTCATTTCCAGCCATCACTAGAAGAGAAAAACTAGCTGGTGATGGCATATGAAGACCTTTACCCAGAGAGGCATCTCCAATGCCCCTGTAGTCAAGTGCAGCTCCCCTTCATGCCAAAGGTGGTTGTTTGTTTGTGTGCACAAGCATTTGTGCTGAATTCACCTGCATCCGTTATGATTGTATGCAATGCAGGGGAGCAACCCAGGCAGTGCCCTGGTCCTGTTGCTTTGCTTTCTAGCAGCTTGCTGATGCAGGCACACTCATCCACATGCTGCTCTAAGCTCCACTTTCACTATAATCCCTGTTATTCTGACTACTGCATTTGAGGAAATAAGGAAATCCCTAGAAGCAATGCAGAGCAGAAACCAGGCACTGTTCCCCACCCGGAGGTTTTGTTTGTAGTGTGCCAGGGAAGGAAGCCATGCGGGCTGCCCATACTGGCTCTGCTGCCCTGCAGATTTGGGCAATGCATACCACAGCACTGCTTGAGGCAGCTGGCCCTTGGTGCCACAAAAGCAGAACAGCAGCTTGGTGCAGCAGTGACCCTGCAATGGAAGGTATAAGGCTACGGCTCACAGGGTGCAGCTGCCCCTACATGGATGAGCAGCACCCCCAGGCTGGAGCACAACACCCCTGTCCCCCAAATCAGCCATACCTGGAGAGAAGGATGTTGCAGTTCTGAGCTCTCCGGCCATCTATGACTGACAGCTCCTTGACTTTGTGCCGGGAACTCAATGTGTCGTCGATAGCATCTTCCTTCTGCAAAAATAATAGGGAGAAAAAAGAAAAAAGCATGGAGAAAAGCCATGGAGAAGGCATTTAGTACTCTCAGCACATACCACTGCAATGCACAGCGGGCCCCCATTAATCAGGACCCGTGTCACCACGGGTTACGGGTAAAACCCAAAGCCTGCAACTGAAATACAGTAAGTCGCTTCATAAACCAGAACGGGCTTTGAAGCCACTGGTTAGAAATGTAAATATTTTCTCAGACAGAGAAAATTTAAGAATCTGCAAACGCACAAGCATTGCTGAATACATAAAGCAGGGCTTTCTTAGCATACATATTTGTGATACTTTGTTCAGTCCTCGCATGAAATACTTCATTATGGGTGGCTGCACACAGTCTGCTGTTGTCCTGTTCTCCAGCCATTTGCAGCCACCCTTCACGCATCAGTCCCAACAGCAAATCCACCAACAAAAGCTACCAGATTTCCAAATGCAACCTGCAGTGTTTGAGGCTCTTTCAGGGAAACGCTTCCAAAACAAGGGATTTGAAAGCACAAATCCCTGCGACACGAGCACCTAAATCTCCTCAGCAGCTGCTTCCTTCCAATGAACAGCAATATACAGTGCTGTGGCTGCACACGGATGGACAGATAAAGGTAAGTGATCTTGCAGGGTTGCCTGAGGAGCTCAGATTGAGCAGTTTTAATTGACCATGTTACATATTTTAGTAAGGTTAAGAAATTAAAACCTGGCTATCCAGCCCTGCTGGGAGGAACATAACCCAGAGCTGCGAGATCCCACGTGCTGCAGATGAGCACTGTTTCAGAGATAGAACCACTATTCTATGGGTAGAAAACAAGTGAAGAAGGTTCCACTTTTTACTCTTTTTCTTGAATGAATTAAAAGAACACCTATAAGGAATGGGAAACTGCTGGGATAAGCAGTGCAGAACTCTGCTGAGCTCCTCTTGTAGGTACAAGCCTGTTTATCTCAATCTTTAAGGGAGCCTCCAGACAGGGTCCAACTCCAGTGATTCCATGGCTCTAGGATACAACTGTGACCCGCTGCATACGTCCCCGTGTCCCCAACCCTGCCCTCACCGCTCCGACACTGCGGATGCTCACTTACCTGCCGGGAGTTACTGCTCACAAAGAAGTCCTACAGCCATAGCAGAAGCATGGAAAAAGGCAGTAAAAACACATGCAATTCAGTGATCTCGGCAAAATCCAAAGGAATCAAAGCAGGGTCAAGGGAAAGGCGTCACACAGTGGGGTGGGAAGAAAGGGAGAAAGCGCTCGGGGTCGGCCATTGCTAAAAAAGGGAGGGTGGGAGAGTAGTGGGGATGAAGGGATGCAGAGGAGGAGGAGGAGGAGGGAAGGAAGGGAAGATGCTGCATGGATGGGTCACACCAAGGTGCTTCGGTGCTAGGATGCTGGGGACACGTAGGGGACCCTGCCAAGCCCTGTCACCAGCGCCGGCCCCATGCAGCAGCGCTCAGCCTGCTGCGCCGGGGAAGAAAATTGCTGGTTTTTGTGAATCTGAGAGGATAAAGTGTCACCACGACTGCCAGGAAAAACAGGGCTTTCAAGTGGAAATAACGAGATTCTCATCCCGGAGCAAATCTAGCCACAGCAAAACTTTACCATTCGCCATGGCAACGCATTTCGCCTCAACTTGTCCTCCTGCAGGGATGCTCCCCCAGTGCCCAGCCTGCACTTCGCCCTTCCCAGGACCCCAAAGCCCCACTCAGCAGGCTGGAAGCATGTGCAGCAAATAACCTCTACCATGAGACCACACACACACACAAGGGAGTTTTCCCTCCTTGTTTGCTGGGCTGCATCCTTTTTTCTCTGAGTGCGTTTTGTTGTTTTTCATTTTGACTTGGCTCAAGGTCCAGCAGAACTGCGATGGGGAGGGAGACTGCAAAGGTGCATGAGTAGTTTGTTGCGTGTTGGGTGTTGTTGTTTTTGTTTTGTTTTTTTTTTTTTTTTAAAAAAAAGAAGGCATGCAGTGGCCAGAGGTCAGCTGGAGGCAGGGAGGCTCCAAATGCAGTTCATTTACAAGAGCTCTTCCTCCCACCCCTCCGCTCGGAGGTGACGCAGGTTTTTCCTTGACTGGCTGCCAGCACTTTATCAGCCCAGGAACCGTGTGTGGGTTTGGTTTGGTGGGAGAATGGGAAATGGCTCTGCTGTCAACAACACAAAACATCCCAGGTTTCACCATGGGTGCCTGGCAGGGGGTTGAGCCCGAGCCTGAGCCCTCTCTCTGCGTGGCTAACAGTAAGCAAATGGTTCTCAGCAAAGGTTCAAGACATACAACAACAACGTGTGAAGCTTTCCTGAAGCGTGGAAAAATAACGCTGCGGCTGAGAAGCAGAACAAAACGTGCTGGGAGACAAGGAAACATCAGCCAAGAAAAGAAGGAACCAACCCTTTGCTGAGCATCCCAACCACTCAGCGGAGGTGCCAGGGCTTCCTTCAGCAGCGGCTTTGCAAGGAAAGGGGGACCGACAGCCCTAAATAAAGATACCCAAGCTGCTATTGCTGCATTTCAGACAGATGTGATGAAAAATGCAGCCCTATGATTGAGCCAGACCCGAGGCTGCTGCCAAGGCAGAATTTGACTCCACAGATCAACAGAGGTGGTAAAGATGCTTGACAAAATGATTTGCAATGGCCCTGTGTGTTTTCCTTCTGTATCTAGCAAGATTGGTAAGTGTTGATACACAGTCCTAGGGGCAGGGGATGTTCCCAGAGCCCCATGACAGGAGGATGCAGGCCAGTGGCTGCCACAGAGATGGGAGGGAGCTACTTTCCTGGTAGCCCTGAACACCTGACCCTGCTCTGCCAGCATAGGGTGGGGATGTTTCCAGGGGTGGATCCCAGGGTGCTCAGTGGGGAAGGGCTCTTTCCCAAGAGCTGCAGAGTTCACTGCAAAGCCTACATGTACCTCCATGTCTGGGATGTGGGAAAAGCACTGAAGGAGATGCTTAAAACTAAGAATGTAACTAAGTCTGTGTGCTACTCAGATGGGGATTTCCAGGCACTAAAGCAACACAAGCAGCCAAGTCTCATCTGTAACAGAGCCACCTCACCTACAACAAAGGTTAAGGGATGTCCCTGCCCTACAGATAATTCCAAAGTTGCTGGGGCATCAACTGCACCTGGCAATGACACTCCTCAGCATGAAGAAATGAGCAAACCACAGAACCACAGAATCACAGAATGGCCAGGGTTGGGAGGGACCTCAAGGATCATGAATCTTCAACCCCCCTGCCACAGGCAGGGCCACCAACCGCCACATTTAATTCTAGACCAGGCTGCCCAGGGCGCCATCCAATCTGGCTTTGAACACCCCTAGGGACAGGGCATCCACAACCTCTCTGGGCAGCCTGTTCCAGTGCCAACCAGCAGAGACCCTCCAGACACCAAAACTTTGTAGTGGTGGCAAAAAGAAGTATTTACAATTTTTGTCTACCTCCTTACTGTAACCATTCCAGGGTACAAAACCCAGTAAGAGAAGAATGAAACTGCCTCAGAGAGCTGCATTTTTCATCTCAACAGCAGAGCTTTGCATGCTCAGGAAGTGCTGCAGTGAACAAGACCCTGTCATTGTGGACAACTGGTGACTTTCATGGACCCCACCTGCCCCATGAGCACCCTGGAGGGACTCACAGGTGGGTGAGGACATATGTTTGGTACCAGGAACACTGTCAGAGAGCTCCACTTGCACAAGACAATGATACCAAGAGGCTTTATTTGGCCATGATGAATTCGTGTGTCATGCTCCCATGGTTGGGACTGGCAGCAGCCCAGCTGGACTCCAGCCACAGCAGCACCTCACAGGTAACACTTCCCATCCTCTTTCCCCATCTCCTTTCCAGGTGCTCTCACATATGGGAACATCTTCTGTCAGTCCTACCCCACCTTTGGCTCTCATGTTCAGCTCCTTTTCAGTGCTTATCCCATCTGGGATACAAACCCATGCTACAGCCCTCCCTGCAGCATCTCCCCTTCCTTGCTGAGCCCAAACTAACCAGCCATCTCACCTCACTCAGCAGAAACTCAGTCAAGCCAAATAATGCTCAGATTTCTGCTGGGCAGTAATTAGCAGCACATCAGATGACTCTCTGAATCACAGAATCACCCGGATTGGAAGGGACCTCAAGGATCATGTAGTTCCAACCCCCCTGCTTAGCAGGGCCACCAAACATACACACTCAGATCAGGTTCCCCAGGACCCTGGCCTTAAACATGTCCAAGGACGGGGCATCCACAACCTCAACCTCTCTGACTCTGGCCAAAGGGCAAACCATCCACTGACATGGTAGGTTTCCATTCTCACTTCCTTTGAATTTCCTTCTCATCTTTTCCACCTTCAGGAGGCACTGGTCAAGCTCCAAAAATGTGGGGAGCAAGAGCCAGCGCTGCATCACCTATTCCCACACCAGGGCAGCACCTACTCCTGGTTTGTTACTCTTGATATTTGTTCTGCTGTAATCCACCCTGATATTGCCCTCCGTTAGCCTCCAGAAGAGATTAAGCTCTTACACTAAGGAGATTATGTTTGGGTCTGCTCCTTCCCAGCCCCATCCCTGTGTCTGAGCCTGGCCACAGCAGGACAGCCTGGCCTCTCCTGCCACCCTGCAGCCAGGTGAGTGTAACATTTTCAGCCTCTCCCTCACTTTTTCTCTTGCATTCCTGAAAAGCCTCATAAGCTTGTCAGCACTAATGCTCCTGTCGGGGGTGAAACAAGTGTCTTATTTTCTTCATGTGCTTTGATGCCTTCCAAACTGGGGCCATATTGCTTGAGAAGGAAATTAAAAAGCAGAGTCTTTTGTCTGCAGTGTCATTCCTTTGGTTTGGGACTTGCATTTTGTTCAAAGCTCACATACTGCTCTGGGCTCACTACAAAAATAAGAGAAGAGATCCACCCATGGTAGATGTGGGTAAAGCTTAGTCCTTCTTGGCCAGAGAGGGATATAAATTTTCCACCCAATACAGAGACATGAAGCAGTGGCTGTTAAGAGCGATCCAAAAACATTACCCAACCGTGGCCACATCTGGGGGCTATTTTCATACATTCCCTGTCATTTTTGTTTGTTTTGTGATCCATCATTATGACACAGGCATGCCCGTGCCATGGCACACGCAGTCAGGTACATGGGCAGGGGTAAAGTCAGTCGCATCCAGCTGTAAGCTACCATTTGAAGGCAAAGGCACCAGCAGGCAAATGAGAGGATAAACCTGATCGAGTCAATCTGGCAAACAAAGCACTAGAATGAAATAATGGCAGGAAGAGTGTTCTGAGACCACATGTGACACCAAGCAACTTCATAATCACGGCATCTGGGGATGCCTGTGCACAGCCCCAGCCAGATGTTACCTGCTGTCTTTGGTAGGCAGAGAACGTCCTTTCCAGGTCTTCGAGATCCAGGACTTTAAACACTTTTGCATCATCTATATCGGTCCACACAGTGCCTGCCAGCTTGTTCTGAAAGACAGAGGGAGCACTGCACATTGGAGTGTCTTTCTGCAGAGCAATACGGCCCTCTGAAAGTGCAAATGAAGAATCTCTGCCTTACCTCAGGCAGCTTGGACCAGTTGAAGGACTTCAGGGCATTCGTTGGCTGTGGGATGCTCTTCTTCTTGAAGGCAAAGCCCAGTGGTGCTCCTGGAGGGGGCATCACTCCATCCAGGGGTGGGGGACCAGGAGGTGGCGGGGGGCCACCTGGAGGAGGTGGTGGGGGGGGTGGCGGTGGGGGACATCCCCCTGGGAGTGGGGGTGGTGGTGGAGGGGGAAGGAGGGATCCTGGAGCTGGAGGTGGTAAAGGGCCACCAGGAGCTCCTGGTGGCAAAGGAGGTCCTCCAGGGCCAGCAGCACAGATCGCCCTCTGAGAGAGAAAGAGAGGAAGGACTGGTCACACAGAGGGAGGGCACCATCCAAAAAACACCTTTGTTTCTGGCCAAAATTTAAGCAGCAAAGGGAGTACATAGAGGCTTCAGCACTCTTGACTGAGGTCAAATGCAGATAAAGAGGTGAGATAGCTCCATCCCCAGGGATGGTCACCTTGGTGGCCCTACAAACAAGCACCTTTCTCAGCTCCCTTTGTAGCTTGACTTCCTGAAATCACTGCACAGCAACTCTGGGGGATTTGGGATGAAGTAGCAACGGGGAGGAGGTTTGGGGCCTCACCCTGCTCATCTCGTGGAGCTGCGCCGTGAGATCTGCCACCTGCTGCTTGACCTGTTTGTGCTCACTGGACTCCTTCTCCAGCTTCTCCTTCATCTTGTTCAGCGTCTGCATCATTTCTTCCTTCTCCTGGGCCTTTGCGTCACACTCCCGCTCCTTCTTCTCCAACTTCTGCTGAAGCTCAGTGTGCTCTGAAACAGCCCCCCACACCAGCCCGTGTGATGAACTCTCCAGCACAGCAAACAGCAGCGTGTGGGGTTATAAAACCCATGGTGCACACTTTCCTCATACGCAGCCAAGGGAAGGGAGTGTGTGCGACACCCTGACCGAAGCTGCCTCTGTGCTGCAGACCCCATGAAGAAACAAGAAACTATTTCCTTGGTAAGCCCCATAGCATAATACAAACCCAGTATTCACACAGAGCCCATTCAGTGCAATATGTAAATGCTATCTGCCTAGCTTTCTGTGCACTCTTAGAGTTAACACGCTTAGAGTTCCTGCCTTTCATTTTTCCATCACTCACCTTTCCGCATTTTTTCTGCTTGCTCTTTCCACTGTTTAACTTCATTTTCGTTGACTAACCTAAAAGCAGGAGACAAGCAGCGCTGTGAGACATCCCTCATGTGGTCAGCAAACACTGCCAGTAAAAAACGTGACTGAGAAGCACTGTGCAGAGGAGCTGGGGCTGTGCAGGATGCAGCTCCCATGCTGGTATTTCAGACACTTCAGCTGTGCCTTCCCACGGCTCCTGGATGCACGGTCTGCACACTGGCATGTTCTGCTCCCCTCCAGGGACTGTGGCTTGTCCAGCCAAGGAGCAGAAACATCACTGTGAGAGCAGTAAGTGATAAGTAAGGCATAGTGACAGTGACAGTCAAGGGAAACAGCTCACTGAGGACACAGTGGTTGAGCTTAATTCATATGCACATCTTGCTGAGTAGGTCTAAATGATCCAACACTGCCAGGGCTGAATCCCAAACCTTGCCGCCCTGCCTGCTATCCCTCTTGAACAGCTGAACTCATGCAGCAAACCCAAAGAATGGTGGACGAGCACTTACATTCGGACAACATTTTTGATATTGAAGTTCTCCAGCGGAGTGGCGTCGGGGTCCTGCCCTTTGTCACTCTGAATGACGATTTGCTGTATGATTCTGTCCAGCAGCAGCCAGTACTGAACAGTGTTGCCGCTTCTTTTATCTGGACAGGAGGAAGGGGAGAGGCTGAGAGAAGCAGCAGGGATGTGGTTGTCGCCCCTGGACAGGGGAGTTGTGCTGTGAAGCCCCTGGAAGTGTGCGTTTTTGCTCCCCACACCATACTCACAAGGCATTTGGAGACAGTGGTGCAGGATGGACATAAAGTGCGGGTATGCCTCTGTGTGAGTAAGCCTCTTTCTCGTCAGCTCAAACATCTGAGTTGCACTTTTGGTGTCTATGTGAACCTGCAGAAGAGAGCAAAGTGGCGTCTGGCCTACGGATCAAAGTGAGCAACCAATCCTACAAGCCATCCGCTCCCAGTGTGAAGAAAAATCACAAGAGCCCAGTGAAGGTTGAACAGCACTGGTCTGCAGCCAGGAGAGAAGAGAGATGAAACAACAGAGCAGGGCAACAGGAGGCAGATTTACAGCCACCAAAGTTGATCCAAAAGTCAGAACTTTGCTCCAGTCTACACAGGCCCCTTTAAAAGGATCTGTAAGATCAAGTGCCAGTCTCTGCACCAGCAATGTTCACACTCACCAGCTCAAATCTTTTTGCAAATTCCAGTTCATCTTCATTTCTAAGCATTTCAAAAAAATCTAAATGCCTGAGGAAAGAAAGGAGAGAGAAAAAGCCTATTAAAAGTGGATACGTGCATGACAGTAAATAAAAGGCAGCCAGTTTGGAACAGCTTCCAGAACAGCTCGCTAACAGGCAGTGGTCCAGAGACAAGTGGGACTTGAAACACCAATGAGAACTTCAGTCTAGAGCTCCCACAGCTCCACAGGTTTGCCTTCAATCTCGCCAGCTTGAAAAACCAATTCAGGAAGACAGAGGGCAAAGTAATTGCAGCCTTTCTAAGGAGCCTCTTGGAAGAGGAGGAGGACTGGCAGCATCCCACCAGGGTGGTACATCCTTCCCAGCTCAATTCTATGCGGGAGTGCAGCAGAGATGGGGTTTTTTCTACTCTGAATTTAGTGATACCAAAGCATTTCCTAAAGAGGAGCCAAAGGCCAAGTCCAAAAACCAGAAATCATGCATGTAAAGAAAGGGGAAAAATAACAGTGGGCTGTGTGTCCCCACTTACCGGTCTAGGGTTGAGTTTTCGTGCTCTCTTAGTTTGTCAATGACTGGCTGGATTCCAAGCATGAGAAATTCGTATCTCAGGTGAAGTCTGAAATCCAGGCTTTCCTGTGAGGGACAACTGTAGGGTTAACACAGCAAGGTGCATTTCCTCAAAAAGCTTCTTGAAAACCCAAGCCCACCAAAAGACCACCCTGTGCAAGAGCCCCAGAGCTCACCACGCCTGCCCCCTGGCTCAGGACTGCGTTGATGAAGGACATGATTGCTGTCTTGAGGCTTACTTCATCCCGATACCTTCCTGTGCTCTTGTCCAGGTCATTGATCAGCGTCTGTCAAATATACAGTGTAAGTTAACAGCCCCGGGGCTGCATGATCTACTCCTGGTGGTCCCAAAGCCCCCACAGCAGTTCACTGGTGACACTTTCTGAACCAACAGCAGCTGCATGGTGTAGCACAGCCCACACAGAACCTGTGTCTGCAAACATCTGCCCATGCAGACGTACTGCAGCTTTACTTTCATTCCTGACAACTCTATAAAAGCAAGCATTCTTGGGGGGGAACTGCCTTAAATAACTTTTCCCATTCTTTGCTCAGCTGTGGCTCTTACAGATACAGCATTAGTCTGCTATAATTCATAGATTATCAAATTCACATGGCCATAGAAAATCATGCATACATGGCATTCAGATACCCAGAAGAAGAAAAGAACAAGAATGCTGCTTTGGGCTCTCTGGGGAGGCTCCCACTTCCCCCAGCACCGGGTGATGGTTTTCCCAGACCCAGATCCAAATTTTGGGAGTGTAAAAGTGAGTTGAGAGGCACCCACCTGAAAACGAGTCCGTTCACTGGCGTATTTCTGGTAGTGCAGCATAGCCTCCAGTACCTTTTTGTGGCCGCCGGGAACCAGGCACACGGCGCCCATGATTTCCAGCACTGCCACCTTTGTCTTTATATTCTCCGTGCTCAGACTCTGAGCGATTACATTAATGCTCTCCGAATGGGCCAGGACGTGAGCCCGGCCCAGGGAGTTGTTCATTAGTGCTTTTATACATCCAATGAGCGAGGTATGTATTCGAGACTCTGCTGTCTCATAGTCCATGCTTTTGAGAAAGTTCAGAATACATGACAAGCCATCCAGGTCGATGAATCGGGTTACAAACCTGTCAGGAAGAGGGATGTTTTAAAATCAAATGCTAAACGACTGCTCAACTCACCAATAGGGTCGACTTGTCTGTTCTTGTACATCCAGAATGCCTTTCTGTAAATTTTCCTGCAATGGTCTTTGGATAGCAGAAAGCCTGCAGGACTCCTACAGTCCAGAGCACAGCAACAGGGCTGCAAAATTCCATCCTTCCCATCAGAGGTGAAGAACTTGCTATGGTACAGCCATGCTGCTGCAAAGCCTCCCCTATCCCCAACCTGAGATTTAGATCAGCCTCCTTTAGGACCAGTTTTGGAGAGGATGGGAAAAAGCTTCCCAGCAGTGAAACTGTCTTCTCACCAGCTGCAGCCAACCCACAGAAACCCCAATGACAGCCAAGCCCACTCCCTCAATGCCTGCCGGACCTTCTGCCTCCTGCTGCCTCTCCATCCACATCCTCCTCAGCTGTGCACATCTCACACATTTTTAAGCAGAGATTTTACATTTTGGTGATGACTTCTAATGCTGCTAAATAGCAAGCAGACTGCAAATGCATGCCGTGCCTGAGGCAGACAAAACATGCAGACATAACCCACCCAAACTGCACATGTGTTTCCAAAAACACCTCTTTGCCTGATGCCACTGTGGCCGGGTACATTCTGTTTTGGCAGAAGGGGTGAGCTTGCACATCAAGTGAGCCAAAAAACATCCCAGCACTGGGATGAGTTTAATTTACAACCACTAGTGTTCATATGCAGCAACAAAAGTGTTATTGTGGTCTGAGTGAAAACTGATTTCTCTGCTTGAAAGGCCAATCTTATTCCAGGAAAGTCAATAGGAAATTTGTTGTTCACTTCTCCAAAAGCCAAAATACGTCCCGCAGATGAAGTTTTCTACACAGCCTGCTGCATCCCTCTGAATTTCACAGAATCATCAAGGTTGGGAAGGACCACTGGTCTTTCTTTCTTGGGAAAGATCATCTGGTCAAACCATAGACCCATGATTTCAGTGTGATGGACTCACAAAACACTTTCAAGCACTCCTGGAAGTTTCACTGCAGACCACCACCTGGGAATGGCAGGAGCCAGCACCCATGAGTGCTGGGCTTCATGGAAACCAGCTGCTAACTGCCAACCCTGGGAACTCCTTGCCAATTACTACACCAGAATCATCGCAGAAGAGAAATGGAAATGGAGTGTAATGCATTTGCAAACAAGAGCTGTGTCTTCTACAACCACAATGGGCAGTGCAATTATAATGAAACAATTATTCCCCATCAGAATTCAACCTGAGGCATCTGAAAGATTTTGTGCTGACGGTTCTCTGCAACTAAAAAGACTGAAGAAAAGGAACAAAATGACAAGAGGTGATTCAAAATGGCAAATGCAATTTCAGAACCTTTGTGTCCCAAGTCTCCTCCCCATCCTGCACTACTCCCATTTCTATTTCTATTCTAAAACTCTTCCGCCAGGGAACACAAATCAAAAGCTATAACCAGAGCAATAAAGCAAGGAAATGAAGAGAATTGCCTCATTGGTTTTGTCCTCAGTGCAGTCTTCAAACTTTCTATTGTTTTATTTCTCTCCTCCTCATCTTCTTTTTCCAAAGCAATCAGCGATTTCCTCTGCAAAAGGAAAGATGTAAAGTTGAGATGAGGGGCAGGCACAAGCAAAAGGGCCACGAGCCACCCCAATGTGCCAAACCACAGTGCAGGAGATGGAGCTGGGACCTGAAACCAACTCTGAAAGCAGAGACACTTATGGGGAGGATGCAGGTGGCTAAGGCAATGCTAGCAGGGACTCCACAAGGGAAAGGTGCTAAATTGTGGGTGAGAGAGGTGGGGTCTTTTAGCCTTCTTTGCTAATTGTGCATCCTTTGTGTGCACCTGTGTAGGTGGGGGGGCTGCAGGGATGCCCTGCAGCCCAAATGAGACAGGATCTTGTATTCACATTTGGGGTCAATGGGACAACTCCCAGGTCTCCCAGTGCAGCCCTGCCTTACAGGAACTGTATTTCCCACAGTGCTATTTCATTTTTATCCAGCACAACCACCACCAGTTCAGCAGGGAACAGAACAGTAGCAGAGATCTCACTTTCCTTGCAGAGGCAGCTTGGTGCCTCTCTGCCACTGAACGATCAGATAGCTTCCCTAAAACCAGCCTGAAAATCCCTGTTTGCCCTCAGTCTTGCAGCCTTCTGGCTTGGAGCTAGATGAAAGACCCCTGTGCCTTGGAGAACTTTTTACTCCAGAGCAGCGTCCAATGAACAACGAAACCTCTCCCTGCATTTCTCCTGGCTTAAATCATTGCCATCAGTGCTGTAGCACAGCAGAAATACTTACAGCAGCCATTGAGTTCAGCTGATCGATGTAAAACTCAGGCCAGCTAGTGGCCCCTTTATTTTCTTCCTGGTCCTGCAGAGAGTGGGGAAAAGCAAGACAAAGAGAGTTGATCAGAAAAAAATGGCGTTAATGTCTCCTGCCCTTTAGAGCCAACCATCTATGACGTTCCCTCATGCTTTCACATTACTTGATATCAATATAGGCTCAATTTTCTGTTTTCTGAACTCACTGCTGATGGTTCCAGAACATTACCTGATCTATTAAATACACACTTTTTTATATACAATGTACTTTCTGCCATCTATCTGTGACTATGCTCTGCCCCAGTGATGCTGCATCAGTCTGGAATCTTACACTCAGATTTCTCTTGTACTAACTCTACTGTGCCCTTGAAGTTTTGGCTGTACAGCCTCAGTGAATGTGCTTTGAGGGAAAAAAAATGAGTTTTTACAAGCTATGAAGGCTACATAAATATGACATGAACAAGATTCCACACCTGGAGGAAGGCTGTGACACATTAATAAGAGAATCTCTTGGCACAAAACAGACAGCTCCCTGGGGATTCATTAGTTAGTAGGAGACAACAAGCACATGGCAATGTCCCCTGTCAAAGGATGTCCCCTGAGCCCATGACCTATGACAGTAGACATTGATGCAGAGCCCTATTTGGTCATCCATACAACGCTCTGCACCTGGTGAAACCCAGCAGAAGTTTTCAAGGTCTGCCATGTTCCTGTAGGACATCACCAACAGACTACTGAGCCATGCTCAGATAAATAACACTGCATGTACGGATGTTCTGAAGGAACAGCTCAAGACCAACTCTTTTCCCTGCTCTATTTTCCCTACATCACAGAATCACAGAATCACAGAATGGCCAGGGTTGGAAGGGACCTCAAGGATCATGAATCTCCAACCCCCTGCCACATGCAGGGCAATCTACCAAAAGAAGAAAAAGGATACAAAAAAATATATCTCCTTCAGGTTGGACCAGAAGAAACAATCCACCCCTAAACTTAAGATGCAGCCTGAGGTATTTATGAGGGTTAACCCACACTGCAATTCCTTGCTAGGGAAGGAACTGGACAAGGCACTCTTGTGCTCCTACATCTGTGCGTGCAGACAACTACTGATAGTCCAGTTGATTTCTGCAAGTCAACAGAGACCAAAATATTTACTTTGGTTCAAGAGGCATCAATGGGAAATGTTTGTGCATCCAATTTCTCAAGGTACAGCTTGCCAAGAGGACAAAATAGAGAATTAGTGAGCCTTTGTGGTGCGTGGCTATGGGATGGGGACAGGAGAAGTTCAGGAGTGAGCAGGTGGCAGCCCCTCAGGCATTTCCCCCAGCATGCCAAAGGTGAGAGAAACTGCTTATCCACAGATCTGGTCAAGTCTAAAGCAAATGAAAAGACTTTTTTTCTGAACAAGAAGACTGTATTTACGCCTCCGTGCCCTCTGCTTTATTAGTTTGGGCTGCTTGCCCTTCCTTCTCTTGCCAAGAACCCAAGTTTTGAATGAATTGATTCACCTTCTCTCAACTTTTTTTTTTTTTTTAATCCAAATGGGAATCAGCAGAATATTTTTTTTCCAAAGATGTTAGAAAAACAACTAAAAATCTGTCCTACCCACTGCCAAGCCTAATAAAACTGCAGGAGATCCCAGTGCCTGCCTCTGTGTTGGTGAGAGAACCATTAAGGCCTGTGCTTTGCCAAAACGTTTTTGCCAGCTACAAGTGCCCCAAAATCCCTATAAAATCCCACAGGTCGTGTCACCTGCCATCACATCCCCAGCCATTGAGGGGACCAGCGTGGTGTCCAAACTCAGCAGAGGAGAAAATCATCCCCATCTTGTCCAAACACTGCTGCCAACACGAGAAATGCTCATCTGCTGGTTGAGAGAGAAACACTGACTCTGAAAGGGAGAGATAGATATGCTCTGGTCTTTCCACAAGCAGGGAGAATGGGAGGCATGGGCTTCTCTCTGGAAAAGTTGCCCTGAGTAGAAAAGAAGAGGATGGAGGGGCAGAGGTGAGACCTGAGACCTCTTGCTGTCCTTTGTCAAACAGACCAACTGAAACAACTGTCCCTAAGCAACCCATCTGGCTGCCAATCTTGCTGCATTTTTGGCCACATTTGAAACTATCATCCCAACTAGCTGTTTGAAGTGATGGCTGTGGGGCAGGGACCATTCCCATCTCCCAGCTATCTCCAGGCAGGAGGGATGCCCTCAGTGCATCAATTTTCAGCTACCTCAGCTGCCTGTGATCAGGGCTTCCCACCGTGGGATTTGGCAGAGCAGTGCCTGCAGCAGTCCCATAATTAGCATGCCAGGCTATGGTGAAGTCACAGTGAAGTCACATAATCCTGCAGCTGCTCAGGATTATGGAGAAAGCACTTAGGTGCTGAGAGATGGATCTAACAGAAAGACAGAAAGTCATACTGTGAGATCTCCCACACAGCTGAGGAAACCCACACAGCATCCCTTGTGCTCTGCCTGCAGCCAAAGGGCAATTTGCCTCTGCCATCCCTATGCAGTGTCCCCCTGGGCTGCTGTAGGACCCCACGTCCCCATGCACTCAGCCTAGCTGCGTAGTGCAGGAGCAAGGAGCAAACCAAGGCTCCTTTTGGTTTCTCACTTCACCTGAATCTGATAATGGGTGCCAACATAACCCAGCTCACTGATCCAAACCTGCTTTGAGACACTGCATGGGAACACAAACACCAAGCTGGGACCACAAAACCCTGCCAGCTTTGACACAGCTGCAGCAGGATGCAGAGAGTGAGTCCCCAGCACCTGCTGGTGCACATATGTGTGCAGCAGACATGGAGAGAACATGTATGTGCGCCCAAGGCAGTTAAAAACAGACAAGGGGGACAGAGATGCTGCAAGCCTGTGCACATCTGTCAGCCCATCCCTCTGAGCAATCCTGCTGCAGGAAGGCTCAGCACCAGCCCTGCAAAGTCTATGGATAAAGATTTCCATTGTGCCAGCTTTCTTCCTCCCTTTAGAGGTTGGCACGCTCACTTTGTCCCAGGGAATGGTGCAGCCAGAGTGCACACATGTGCCTTGAATGCTGCCCACAATGGGATCAGTTCCTGCTCCCTCCTGGGGGAATCACCAAAGGTTCCATCAGCACTACCACCAGCCCCTTCCAGCAGCAACACCAAGCCTTGGGAAGGGGGTGGGATCCCACCACAGCACAGCATGGAACCATGAGATGACTGCTGCCCCAGCGTGAACACGGACCTGCTGCTGCCTTAGGACTGAAAGGGAGCGGTGGAGCACAAAACACCAAGGTCTCCAGGGGATGGGAAGGAGGCTGAACAACAAAATTGGCTAAATTGCTCATTTATAATTAACTTGCTGCATTATAAATATTTCCTTTTGCTTCGGCTCCCTCGGGCTCTTGCATTTCCTCCCTGAAACCCCCAATTTAAAGAGTGCTCTCAATTAAGTATGGCAGAACCTCATTAATTCACATGAGCAGCCGGGCAGGCTTGTCGAAAGGCAGCCTCCCATGCAAAAGGGGAAAGCACAATAAAGCAGCCAAAGATCAGGGCAGGGGCTTCCTTTGGCTCACTGCAGGATGCTGAGCAGTGGTAATTATTGTGGCTAATGGTCTACAGCACACCAATAAGTGTCCTTCAGTGCATTTGGTGGCAATAAAGGAGCCTCCTGACAAAGTGAAGAGCCTGGAGGGAAGTGACTCACATGGCTTTGCTCAGAGGCAGGATGAAGGAGGAAGCTTTCCAGGCACCAAGGTTTTGATGGAGTGAATTCACCCAGGCAGGTTTTTGGAGGCATGTGGGATTTAACAAATTCAGCTCTTCACGATGGTCCACCACATCCCACCCCATGGGAACCAGGGACAGAAGCATTTCTCATTTTCTTCCTCTAGTCACCAAAGCCTTCCACTTCTCTCATTAGGAAGCTTGGCCAGGGAGAGGAAAGTGGTGTGAGCAGGTAGGAAGTCAGTGCGGAAGGAGGGAAGCAGCTGGGGACCCAGAGTGGTTGCCACACAGTGTGGTTTTCCTTCCTCCTTTCCCCATGTATGGGTCTGAATGCTCATCAGACCAGCTCAGTGCATGGCATTGCCAAGAACAGCCACCAAGGAGCCTGATGGCCTTAAGAGAAGCAAAAATCTCCAAAGCTCAGTTCTGCAGCCTGCCCAACACTTTTCTGCGTTACAAACCATGACTACCAGCTTGTTAGGCAAGAACACACCAGGCAAGCCCAAGGCCTCGGGGAAAACCTCCGAATGTGTTTCCTTTGCTTGCTGACTCCTAAGAAGCACCAAAGTGAGGACTGACTGCCAGCTCCATGCCAACCCCAGAGATCTGACCACTAGAAACTCTGGTAGACACCCCCCTCTTGGGACAGGCTGCTGAGCTGGCTTGCCCAAAGAGGACTTCCCTCCAGGACACCCACAAGGAAGGTTAGTAAGAAGCCTAAAAGAGACAGGAGCCAGATCATCAGGTGTCCAGGACAAGCAGGTAGCCTCTGTTTGACCTGGAGATTTGCGTGGGAATACAGCTGCCAGACTCACCAGGGCAGAATCTTCCTTCTAAAAACTTTGTTCCAGTTGCAAAAATGGAAGCAAACGCATTTGTTTTTATGCAAGCTCCAAAGGAGAGCAAAGTAAAGCTCGGTACTGCCAGCAGCCCACCCAGTTCTGGCATCTCCAATGCCAAGAGAGGAACAGCCCAGGACGATCAACCTGGGTGCTGTTTGCTGGGTAGAAAAAGAAGCAGGCAGTAGCACAAGTAGGTTTAAGCTGCCAGGTTTGCAGTTTCAAGCCAGCACAGCTCTGCCAACGTGGATGAACCCTTGCCAGGTGTGCACAAGCAGTGGCATCCATACACCAAAAAAATGAATAATGCAAATAATGTAATTTCCCTGTGCTCTGCCAAATGCTCACAGAGTGACCCTGCCAGCCTCACAGCTGCTGAGAAGGGCTGTTATTCAATATGAATCTCCCAAAGTTGCTATCTCAGATCTGAACCATCCCATTAAACCACAGGCTATGCAGTTCTTCTTTAATACTTCCTACACTCTCCTTTCTACAAATGCACACAGGCCCTTGTATGCTTTTCCCAGGGTTTAAAAATTATGCTAACAATAAGCAAATATACCATGACCAGATGCCTTTCATAGTCAGATGGTTCATTGTTTAAAAAGCTTCAGTTTAAAATCCAAAAAGATTGCTAACAGATGCATTTTTTGGCTGGAGACAGAGAAAATCCTCGCTTTAACAAAAGTGTGTTGTGATTGGAACTAAAAAGGGAATTACCTTGAAAGATAAAAACCATAAACATTTCCTATTGAGAAATACCCCCAGCCTTGTATACACAGCCGTGTTCTCTGGCTGGGGGAGAGGGAAAGGGAGGAGTGTCAGCCAGGAGAATTACACCCGAGATGGTGTTCAACCTGCTGCAGCCACAACTGCAGGTATCGCCCGGCTGCAGCACTCCTCATTCAACCCAGCTGGCTTAGCAGGCAAAGTGCCGGGCTATTTTTTCCTCTTCCTCTCTGCCAGATTTTGCTCTAAGCTACTGCAGAGAGAAAAAAAAAAAAAAAAAAGGGATTTTAAATGGAGGAAATTTATATCAACACAAGCCCCGTGGTCAAGCTCCAGGACAAAGATGCACGTGGAGCAGAAAGCTGGAAAGCAGAGCTCTCTGGAGGTTGGAAGGCACAGTCAGACAGGAAAGAGGCCATCTGGTTGGGAAAAACAGTATCATTGGAGAGTCATCACTCACTTCCCTATTTATCATGTTTTTTCCCCGTTCTCCCTGCAAACACACCATTGTTGCCTTTTCCTAACGCAAAGGGACCGTGATGTTACATCTGACAGCTGAGGAAATGTTAGATGTAAAGGTAACTCTTGCTTGCCCGAGGACAGCTTCCTACTGAAGAGCTATGTGCCCAGCATCACCACGCTAACAGCTTTTCAGCACAGGTTTAAAGCATGCAGCGTCGTTTGTCATCTTCACAGGTCATTCGTCATCCCTGCACAACCTCTGCTCGGGTTCTACAGATGCTGTAGAGAGATAGGTTTAAATGAAAGGGAGGGGCCAGAGCCAGAACCCATATATTTTTGGACTGCATTTAGCTACCAATCCCTTCCATGCACCTATTTGTGGTGCACTTCTGCCTGAATACCCGCAATCTACATTCATTCTGAGGATCTTAAAGATGACCCAGTGACTTGCTCCAGCAGCATGACGGCTGGGGCTGGCAGGAGTCAACCCTCCTGCAAGGAAGAGGTGCTGCAGAGTAAGAGCAAAGTGTTATTAGCTCCCTTTGGAGCCTGTCCTCTCTGCTTGAGAAAGGCCATCCCGAGTCCCTCTTTGTTTTCACTGTCTCAAACCCACAGCTAAAGAAACGTTAAACCTGGAAACCCTCCGGCTTCCTCTCTGTGCTTCCGAGCAATATCCTCTCCTGGAGAGCAGGACCAGCAGGGAATAAAATGCTTTGAGATGAGGTATGAAACGAGTCATCATCCAGAAATACCACTTCTAAAATCAGACCTTATCCTGCTGTTAATGCACCTCCACTTTCACGTCTCCTTGCTTTATCTCGGCTGAAGAAAGAGCTGACAACTTCAAAGGGGGTCCAGTACTCTTTAAATCCTCCCTCCTGATTTGAGTGCGGATTTAATGCAGACTTCAGCTCCTGCCTGAGTGGCTGCCTGCAGTCTGGCCAGCCTCAATCACAAGCTGCTTTTTCTCTCTCTGCACTCAGAGCATCAGAGGGCATTGAGGCCCTGGCACTGCTGCCTAGAAAGCTGTGGTGCCCCATCCCTGGAGGTGCTCAGGGCCAGGTTGGATGGGGTTCTGGGCAGCCTGATCTATAATCTGATCTAGTGTCTGACTTAGCGATTGGCAACCCTGCATATGGCAGAGGGGTTGGAACCTTTAAGGTCTCTTAAAAACTGCTCTCAGGAAAGTTTTGGACCCTTGGCAAGTCACTCAGCTGCCTATGACTGATGTCAGCCTTTGCCAACTCCCCCCAGGACCCATCGGTGTTACAAGTTCTCATGCATTTCAAGCAATGACTTGCTATTAACCATTGACAAGCCAAAATATTTCAGGCTGTCCCGAATTTCCCAAATCACAGCCACTGGGGCTGTGGCCGAGGCAGCCAGGTAGGACCCCAGCCTCATGTCCAGCACAGGCACTGCTGCCTAATCCCAGTAATTACTCTCAGTTGGAGAAGTCCAACCCTCAGTGCCAGATATTACAAGCTACCCTGAAGATAAAGCCAGATAAAAACCAAAGAGGTACACAAGTATGAGCTCTGTAAGGTGCTGTGACAGCCACAAATGTTTCTGTTGTCCTCAAGCCGTGTTCACCACAGGGGAGCAGGACTGCCTAGAGCATGCCATGCACAGGGAAATGTTTACCAGCACACCTGATTCCTGGCTCTCCACGCTTCCCACCTGCTGAAGGCTCTGCTGATATGGTTTTGTTCATTTTTAATTAAAAAGCAGGACAAAAGCACTTGTCTTTCTTGCAAACCAGCCACCAGCACACCTCCTGCATAAGCCCTGCAGGTTTTCCAGATGGTTTCTCGAGCAGGGCAGCGCTCTGGAGGGTGGCGCAGGGCACCTCTGCAGCTCTTTCCTTCACACCCACCAAGGAGCAGTGACTTTCTTCAGCACCATTTTCAAAACACATCACAGTGCCTGTGTGAGTGCTGAAACGGGGGAACATCAGTCCCATCTAAACCCTACACAGGAGATTAGATACCATGTAATCTTCACACACAATAATAATTACATGGAGCTGCTTGATTTAAGTTCCTACTGTCTCTGATTATCCAGACACACTGGACCATGGCTAGCTTTATCCTAGAGGCAGTGACAAGTGAGCATCCTCTGCTCATTTCCTTGTTGATTAGGAACAGTGCCTGTAATTTGTTAACATCTTCTCCCCTCCAATTTAAATCTCGGGTATGCCAGGCCTCTGTATAACAATAATACATGGATTTTAGGGGTATTTATGAGAGGCTTAAAACTTAATCCTACATGAGCAAGGTAAGCTGTCTCTTGGCCTGAAATGAGGCTAGAAAATCTGGTGCCATTGCTAGAGCTGAAGAAAACATGCATTAGCAGTGACAAGTGCCATGTGAGCACAGCCAGGCCACCATGAGCATTTCAGAGCCAACTTCTGCAGCAAAGTGGAAACGTTATGGGATGTGATAGCAAATTTGGGAATGATGGGCATTTGCCCCCCACTGAGAGATCATGATGCAAAGCTAAGCTCCTGGAATCAACCTGTCCTTACCATGCTTCAATCAGTTTCTGAAATTTAATATTTTTTCAAAGAATCATAGAATGGCCTGAGTTGGAAAGGATCTTAAAGATCACCTAGCTCCAAACATCTGCAACTCTTCAGCTTCCTTCTAATGGGAGCCAAAATTGGCAGTGGAGGAATGAGCAACCTCTAAATCAGGCACCAGATCAGACCCAGGGCCCCATCCAACCTGGCCACGGATGAGCACCCATAGCAGTGCCAGAGCCTCACCTCCCTTTAAATAAAAAATTTCCCCCTAACATCTAATCTAAACCTCTCCTCTTTTACTTTAAAACCATTTCCACTTGTCCTGTCACTATCAGCCTATGTCAAAAGTTGGTCTCCCTCCTAATGAGCCCCTTTTAAATACTGGAAGGACTTTTTGCCCCATTTCTCCCCAGTGCAGTAATTCCTGCAGGATCTCTACTTTGGGCAATACAGGGAAAGAAGTGATTCCCCCCACTCAGCTGGGGGTTCTGCAACCCTCAGGGCATGGACTGCTTTGCAAAAATACAGGAGCAAAAATCTTTGTTCTACAGGGGAAAAATGCTATTGGAGTGCAGGAAGCCCAGACCTTGAGTGACCACAAGGCTTGCAGTGGTCAGTCTGTCCCCAGCTTTGGGACTTGGAGAAATTGCAAGGAAACCAAGTGCCTTGCAGAGACCCAGCTCATATACAAGAGGGCACAGCAGAAAGGGTTCTGCATTTTGAAGATGTGGCTCTCAGGTCCCTGCTGGCCACCTAACTTTCCCAGGACCACCTCAGGGAACAGACAGGTTTCTGTGATGCCCCAAATACTACTTTGCACAAAGAGCATGCAAAGTTGTTGCTTCTCCTTCACATGCCTCCCCTCCCAGGTACAGGGAAAGTGAACGCTCAGCTGTGGTAGCACGCAGACATGTCTCTTACTTTTTTCTTGCTGCAGTAGATCTGCCACTTCTTCTCCGCCGGCAGGGCAAACATAGCTTCTCTGTGCTTGTCAGTGAGGTCAAGTTCATCCTGACAAGGGGAAAAAACAAACCATGTGAGTACACAGCACGGTGATCACACAGACACAACCCCCCAGGCGGTAGTCCCAGTGGCAGTCCCAGCGCATCGCCCCGTGTCCTGCACCTATTGATTTGCCAGGTCAATTCTCTAATTATCATCCTGTGATTGCTGACCTCTCCATGACTCCTGGGTGGCAGCAGGCTGCTGGGAGGAAGCAACTGTAAAACTCTGCCTGGCCCCTTCCAGACATCTCCTAAATTGCTTCTAAGGCAGCGGCAGCTTGGAAAGGACATCAATACACCAAGAGCCCAGTGGTTACATCTACATACATACACAGAGATCTGAAGCTCTAAGGGACTTGGGTTGACAGGTTTTTTGGCTTTTGGTATGTTTGCTAATAATTTTAAAAAGCACTTTTTCCTAATAACTACACTTGAAAAAGAGATACACCCTCTCCATCAAAAGTGCATATGTACTACATACTGCCGCCTGGAGATCATGCCATTTACTGACAGATCTTCTTAGTTTATGTGGTTTTATTTTAAAGGGCACATCCACTTTTGACTTGGAGGCCTCAGTTAGCAGTGTGCCCTCCACTGGGATGCCTGAGTACTATCAAAGCCTCGTTGCTTCCTGCTGCTAGATGTAGGTCAGAGCTTTTATCAGAGAACGAACTAAATAAAGCATTCCGGCAGGGCTGCGAGGCTCATTTCTAAAGCCAACATTGATCCTACAGCTGTGGATGTCTCTGAAAGCCACCCCCATCGATGACAAGCCTTTTGCTGGAGGGGTGCTGGCACGGCGGTGGGAGCACTGGGGATGCTGCACAAGGTCACAGGAGAGGCATACTGTGGCCTGCAGCCAACTCATCCCACCCAGTCTGTGATTTAACTAAGAGGATCCCCATTAAAATTACACACTTAATTCCAGCAACTAAAAAGCAATTGGGAAAAAAAAAAAAAAAGCCGCACAAAGACTCTTAAATTGTTCCTGCCTGAATAATAACACTTACAAACTAATTGTTTTCTCCATGCTGGTAGATTCTGGTACCCCAACCAAAGGTAAAAGCCCCATTGGGCGAAGGCTGAACAAGCAGCCTACGGGTAGAAGTGGTCCCTACATGAGCAAGCAAGAAATCTAGCTGATTTAATTAAAGCTTATGTTGCATCCAGTATTCAAGGAAGGGAGCCTTCAGCTATCTTGTAATCCAAACAGCATGATATGCCACATCCTGAGCATCTCCAAGAGGAGAGGCAGCTGCAGTTTCACCTATATATCCACTGCAGGTAAAGATTTCACTTCCCAATAAATTGCTTCTCAAAAGGAAGGCATGATGGAGCTTTATTGGTTATATTTGTATGGAGCAGCTTTGCCTCTACCTGGACTCTCTCTTCCACATCAACTGACCCTTCAAACCAATGCTCAAGTGGGCATCCCCCCACTTGAGCACTGGTTTGAAGGGTCACTTGATGAGCCCAGCTGATGCACGGGGAGCTGTAGAAGCAGGCTTGCAAGATGCCCTTACAAGGGAAACACCTAGCAGCAATTTCTCCTGTTCAAACACAGTTCTTTGGAGAAGAATGTTGGGGTGGGTGAGAGAAGATGAGGGTTCTGTGATAGATATCCACTCTGGGGTGAGGGTCACCCGAGTGTGACCCAACGCCTACCTGCCACCTGAACCCCAGGCACAGCTGTGCTGAGGGGCTCAGAAAAAATATTCATTGAAACATTTCAAATACCCAAAACCTAAAAATAAGACTTGTGCAAACATGAAGATTTATTAACCAAGAGAAAATATAAACTGAGCTAAAGCTTCAGCAGTAGTAAGAAGGAATAAAGCAGAAGAACATTTAAGGTGCTGGGATATGACAATATGCAAACACATCCAAATAAGGTGCAGAAAAACTGCTGAGCCTCACACAGCACATTCCATTGTGCCCAAGCTCTAACAAGTAATCACAGCCCTGCATCCCTCAGAAACACCTACCTAATGATGCCTTGAAGGATGCTTGGGAGAGGTGTTTAAATAAATAATAAGTGGCAAGCAGTGAATACAAAACCCCTCATAATCACACAGTGACTAATAACTGTTATTCTGAGCTGTAACAACGACTTAACAATGAAGAATGAGATCTCTGCTGTTGGGATATGCATGGGAATCCCTACTCCTGCCCTCAGCTTCAGGGTTTGAAGCGTCACAGTGCTCATGGATGAGTTTCTCGGGACTCCTTGGCCCCAAGCAGTCTGCTCTGAAACCATCCTTTCGACTCCAGATGATCAACAGAGGAGACAAAACCCAACCATCTTCCAGTTGTTCACAGGCAACCGTACCAACTCTGGGCTGAGAAAATCATCTGCAACTGCACTGCTGAGTTATGACAGTAGTTGGGCACAACTTCAAACCCATCCACACCTTCAATTAATAATCATATAGTCAATAATTAGATGATTCTAACTGGCAATTAATTATATAGGCCATTTGCAAGCCATACACTGCAACCCTGGCACGTGATGTTGGCAGTGGTTGAAGAAGACAGCCCCAGGTTAGTGTCCATCCCCACCCACCACTTTCACCTCTTTGCCTCTACCAGCTCGGCTCCTTTGCACCTGGATGTCTCCCACAGCCAGAGCTGCCAACTTTGCTATTTTAAAGATTCATTTGGAATCAGGTCAAAGGCACGTAAAATAACAGCCTCATTTTGCTACCAAAAGGAAGTCTCTGCCCAGAGTATTTTTACTGGAAAGAGATATGCTGCTTTTAAATATTTATCCCGTACAGTTAAACTCTTCACCTTTAGATCAGGAAACATGTTTCCACATTAAATCTGCATTTGAATATGACTTTAAAACAAAACAAAAAAGCCTCATAAGGGAGATGTGACTGAGTTTATCCTATTTCTAGGACGTAAAATACAACCATACGGCTTGCCTTGCTGATGGCTCAAGGCTCCCCCTTGCACCAGGCAAACTTCTCTGTGCACAACATGAATGTACAGCAAAAGTTGTTCCACACTGCTCTCCTAAAGCTACCTTAAGTACACACGGACCAAATTGGAGTTTTCATCCCTCCCTCCACCTGTCCCTGGGAGGTTGCACAGTGGTACTAAGGGGAAAGGTGCCCACGGTCCTGACATTGCCAAGCCAGCAATTGGACAGTATGGGGAATCCAGGCAGCAAGGATGCACCTGTGGATGGAAGTACCAGGGTGGGGAGCAAATACCAAAAAAGAGTTCTGCTGAATGGTGCAGGGACAGGAGAAGCTGTGAGGGTTCAAGCTGTGTATGGTGTCTATGGAAGGGAGATCTGCGTCCACCTGTTCCAATGCCCTGCTCAAGCAGGGACACTGAGCTGCTGCTCAGTACCACGTCCACATGGCTTTTGACTATCTACAAGGTGGGCCACTCCACAGCCTCTCCGGATTGCAGCCAGTGCAGGCTCTGGGCATGGCTTACATGCAAACCCAGATTAGAGAAAAGGAAGGCACTGCTGCTGAAATAACTAGCTAACTCTCCAAGCAGACAGAGCATCAAAGTGCAGCCCCAGACTGCTGCACACACTTGCGCCATGCTGGAAGTTTGAACAAGCATCTTCCAAGGGCTGAGAGCCATTGGCTTTCACTGGGGAAGTGGCAAGAAGTGAGGAGGTGTCTGGGGCTGCCAGCTCCATGACACAAGGTCAGCAGAGGAAGGGAGGCAGCAGGGCGGAATGGCTTTCGGTCACATTGGAGCACAGGGGATATATATAAAGAGTGGTTTGAATGCTAAGGTTAGGCAGGACAGCCCAGGCGTGAAATTGCACAGCTGGAGACTGAAGCACCTGCATTCCTCCCCTTTGCTATTCCCTGCTCGATGGGGTGGCAGAGATGGGACACAATGCTGTGTGCACCATCTGCTACATCAGCAGAGTACCATGTAATCACCACTGGGTTTTCCTTTACAGCTCATAAACTCCACATCCAAAAAAAACCTCCATAAAAAGTAGGGAGGAGAGATTAAAAAACAGATAATTAAATAACCAGAGAGGGTTTGCCACTCCCGGAATATTTTCAGAGGTGGTAGGAAACATGATGAAAAATTTATCAACAGTCTAATGTACCTTTCAGGCTGATTAATTGTGCAACTGCAACATGTGGAGGAGATGGGGAGAGAGGAGGTTATTTGGAGTCAGAGTTGAAATAAAAATTAACGAAAAGGTTTGGGGGTTGATGTATACAAGTGTGCCTACATACATATTTACATGCATACATATATATATGCATATATAGGACGAAGTTTTTCGCTCAGATGTGGTGAGGCACTGCAACAAGTTGCCCAAAGAGGTTGTGGATGCTCCATCCCTGGAGGCATTCAAAGCCAGGCTGAATGTGGCTCTGGGCAGCCTGGTCTGGTAGCTGGCGACCCTGCACATAGCAGAGGGGTTGAAACTCAATGATCATTGTGGTCCTTTTCAACCCAAGCCATTCTATGGTTCTATGATATAGAAAGACATCCTAGGCCAATACAAGAACAACATAACAAACAAGTGAATGAACTCCTGATGGACGGGCGCATAGAGTTTTGAAGCTTCTGTGTAAGGCTGCAAGGACTCCAGTGGGATGCAGCACACAGCCAAGATCTCTATCCTCAAATATATACAGAAAGATCCAAGACTGTCTAAAAAATAACAGTAACAACAAAAACCAAGAGAAAAAAGAAACAAGTGGAACTTGTGGTGCTAACTGGCACAGCATGGGAAATAAAAAGAAAAAAAATTGCCTGTTGAAGTCTGCGCCGGCTTCCTTTCTCAGGGGTCATATCGCTTTTTCACCCTCTTCCAGGCATTCTTCTCCAAGTTCATCAATGTGATTTATCCAAGAATGTTGCAGTGTCAAGGGAAACAGCAATCAGCATTTTTCCTCCTGTACCTCATCTAATCTTCTTCCTCCGAACGAACGTGCTGCCTTGCCGGGAGGCTGCTGCACTCACTGTTGTTCCTGGCCATGATGTACAATGGCACACAGCAAATTTTCA